TTCGCACCAGGACAGCTATTCACACCAACTAAATTGCATGTTGTAGCCACTGCTCAGGGCTATCAGAAAACCCCCGGATACAAGCCGGTTGTCCAGGGGGTTGCGGAGATATCGACCATACACTGATCTTGTATCCAGATCTTGTATCCAGCAGATACAAGGCCATATCTCCGCCACCAGGGCAGATATTCCCACGCACTAAATTGCATCTTGTAGCCATCGTTCATGGCTACAGAAACGACCCCGGATACAAGCCAGTTGTCAAGGGGGCTGCGGAGATATCAGACTTGCAGTAGTCCCATATCCAGCCTGTATCCACTGCTGCCTAGGCCATATCTCCACCACCAGGGCAGCTATTGATGCGAACTAAAATGCGCATGGTAGCCCTGATTATAGGCTATAATAAGGTCCCTTGTATCCAATCAAGTGGTCAGGTGGTTGGGTGTCCATGGCCCTTGCACCAGGAGGCCCTAGGCAGAGCATCATTTTCTTGGAGGTGCACAGCCACAATCGCATCAGATTCGGGTAGCCCTTGATCAGGGCTATCGGAAAACACCAAGATATACCCTTGTATCCAGGCTCGTTGAGGAGATACAAGCTTGTATTCAACCTTGTATCCAGCCAATACCCTTGTATTCGCTTGTATTCATGCGATTGTGGGCCGTACAGGATAGCTACCACCCTGAAACCACCTGCATCGTGTAGCCATGCTTCTAGGCTACCAGAAAACCCCCGGATACAAGCCTGTTGTCCAGGTCGTTGCGGCGGTAGAGCCCTAACACTGACCTTGTATCCAGTTTGTATCTCCCTTCTGAGCTCAAAAGGGGGTTTTATAGAGATAGGCTACCGGCAGAGCCAGTCATACATAGAGCGACATTTGATATTGTACCACTGCAGCGCGCCGGACTTGTACCCTAGAAGATGTACGGCGTGTGAGCCGAAGTACTACCAGAAGTCAAGTCAACGACAGTACATACATGTCACAGTATACAAAGGCTGTCCAGCGTGCCACGCGAAGTCGAACGCAGAGTCTGCAAACAGAATATCGGTGTGCGGCACATTGAGGTTGACGTTCCAGAGGTCAAAGCCGATGCTGCGAACAGATAAGTCCGGGAGAGAGACCTCTCGGCGAAGGCGTGCAACGCAGTCGTCGAGTTCACAGGCACCTGAGGTGTTCCAGTAGTACGTGAGCGGAGCGGGAGTCATCTCCGCGTCTTCATTGCGAGCGGCCGTCACAGTAACCCGGTACAGAGGCGTGAGCGGGTAGACATTGTGTAGATCGTCTCACAGCGCACCTGGGACATGCGTGCTATGTTGTGGTAGCAGGACAGAACTGGGAGAGGTAGGGCACATCAGAAAAGTACACACTGTGAGCGGATGCGGCCCGGGAGGTTCCCGAGCCTCGTGGAGCGTCTCTTTGTGCACAGAAGGTGTACTGGGTATTTTATAAAGTGTCCGCCAAAGCCGACATTGTCTTTGGCGGACTTACAAGCGCAGTCACTGGTGGAGATATCCTGAGCGTACTCCATCTGAGGCCCGCTGCTGAGTAAAGACAGCACCCGACACCCACACAGTTTCCAAGGCAGAGCTGAAACCTACCTTGAAAGCTGCGACTTTACGAGTCAGCGTGTCAAAAGTAAATCGCCGCACACTAACTTACACAGACGTGAGAGAGCACGCGGATACAGAAGAAAGGCTTGGGCATGTTACACAACTTGAACGGTGTCGTTCGACAGCGGGGGACATTACCAGATAAAAGTAGACATCACGATCCCAGGTTGTGAGCAGCAAATCGTGTGCGTATACGAGGCGGCCGAAGTGGAAGATTAAGGAGCATACGGAAGACAGATCGGAGAGAGATCAATTGATTCAACAGGGGGGAAAGCACACACGCGGGGTTTTCAGCTTAGTAAGGACGAACGGACAAACACGGTGCCTGAAGAGAGCGGGACGAGACGGTAGTATTGTACACATATGGGTTTTGGAGAACTCGCCGACACTCGGAGCTACATTCCGAAACATAGTCAGCGTCGAGACGCAGAACGCAGAGACGGGTAGGAAGGGGCGTACTGCTGGACGCTCCTCTAGATGCGTTCGGCGCACACAGGGCACTGGAGGTAATCCCTGTAAAGCTGACCGACCCAGTACGCCGTGCTGGGGTCAGGCGCAGGATTACCCCCTAAGATGTTGCGGATGAAGACGGCGGTATCCTGGGGCGCGCGTCCATGGGTGTCGAAGTATTTCCGCGCCGGTTCGAGAAGACGTTCAAACGAAAGGATGTTTGAACATCCGGTGCGCTGGTCGACTTGCGGCACCCGTGCGATAGAAGCGCGAATGAGAAGAGCCCAGTGGTGGTCGTTTTGGGTCGAAGGGATCCAGGCGAGGTTGGTTTGGGCAGTAATTGGGAGACCTATAGGTATAATACCGGCCACTGAGCTCACTTGCTAGGCACAAATAAGGCAGATCAAATACAAGTGCATTTGCGAGTGTTGCCGGTGTACAATATTCTTGATTCTTTCGTCTTTACATTGGGGCACATCTATCCTATCCTGTCACATTTTTCTGAGCCTATCCATGCATTTTTTCGAGGCAGGGCAGCTCATCCACGGGAACAACCCTCTTGTATTCGCCCAAATTCTACAAGCGCCGACAGCACCGCCACCTTGCACTGGTACAGGCGCCTACTCTCACTTCGCCCACCGCGGCCCTCGATATGTTCCCGGAACGTGCATACAATGCCGTGGCACGAACCAGGGTGACAGGGTTGTACTTTTCGTTCAACACGAACTGCGCTATGGATGAGTTGAATATGTTCTCGACGATACAATGCAGCCACGGAGCCTGCTCATTCTCGCATCACGACGGCGTGATCGTAAAGCTTTTTCCGCGAAGTGACGATAGCACATCGTACGGAAGACGCGCGCGAGGAGAAGACAGAGACCGCGGCAAGAAGCGGACGCTGCTCGGAGAAAAACCGAGCACGGAATGACGGACTGAGGAGAGACGCGAAGTACAGACGCGGAATCAACGAGGCGCGAACGGCCGAGACGGCGCGCGCGGAGACGCGGCGCGAGCATTGCGCGGGGGAACGTGTGCACCCGGACGACGCGCGATGCGTGGTGAGCGATTAGCAGGTCTAATTACAACACTACAATACAGCTACATTGATACATTCAGTACTTTCGATGCGAGCGTCCATGATACATCAAAACCCCGAGAACACGAGTCGGAGACGACACCAGGAAACAAGGAACACGACGTCAACTCACGCCCAGTCGAATGCACCGCTCTGCCACCCGTCCCGCGCCTGCTCCTCCTCCGCCTTCTTGCTCACCGTATCCGCAAAGCTCTTAATCTGCTGCACCTTCCCCTTCACCGTCTCCTTCGCCTGCTCCGCAACACCCTTCGTCTTCTGCGCAACCTCCCCAGCCTGCCCCGCGACCGCCTGTACGTCCCCGCGCTCCCCAGCAGGCTCCGCGAACGTGCCCTTCGGCCCGTGCTTCTCGCCCGAGAGCACCTGCGGCTCCGCGCCCATCGCGAACTGCGCGCCCGTCACCGCGTCCTTCTTGATCACGCCCGTGCCCGTCGCCTTCCAGCCCGCGAGCAGCCCGCCCTCGCCCTTCTGCAGGTGGCCGAGCTCGCTCCAGAACCCAGCGACGAGCGACGCGCCGCGCGGGAGGCCCGCGTCGCTGAATACCTCCGCGCGGCGGCCGACGTCCCACGCGAACGCGTCCGCCCACTGAAGGCCCGCGCGCAGCTGCGCCTCGAGGACGGTTTGGAGCGCGTCGCGGAGGCGCGAGAGCATGATGGGGCGGAAGACGGAGACGAGGATCTGGTGGTTGGACTGCTTGACGGAGAGCTCGACGTCCTCGGTGACCTTGACGTCGACGCGCTGGATCTCGACGAACGCGTTGCGGCGCTCGCGTTCCTTGAGGCCCTCGGGCGAGTTCGGGATGTTGCGTACGACGATGTCGACGTCGATGCCTTGGGGCGGGAGGGTGAACTCGAGGATGCCGGTGAAGTCTGCGGGGCCGATGGACGCGGTCTTGTCCTTGTAGTAGAACGAGACCTCCTTGAGCTTGATTTGCATGCCCTGGAGGTACACGCGCGTGAGCGCGCCGACGGCCGTCTGGGCTTGACCCGCGGAGGGCGCCTTGATGTCGATGTCGGTGATGTTGCGGATGTATGCGTGGCCAGGGAGGATGGAGAACGTGGAGATGTCGAGGTCCTCGAGGACGAACTCGACTTCGTCATCCTTGTACTCCGTCCTATAGGGACAGTCAGCGAAGTTACGATCGATACAAGAATATGCACGTACCTCGGGATTGGGATATCCTTGACCATGCCGACGACCTTCGGCAGGTAGACGTTGAAGACGTCCTGCCAGAACCAGGGCGCGCGCTCCATGAGCGACTGCGCGCCCGTACTGCCCGAGACGAGCAGCCCGTTCTCGAGGTCCTCGCCGAGCTTCGTGTGCGCGCGACGGACCGCGCGGAGATCCTCGTCCTGGTCGATCGCGGTCTGGAACTCGGACGCCTCGCGCTTGAGCGCCGCGACATCCTCCTTCCACTTGCGGCCCTTGTTCGAGTCCTTGTCGAGCAGCTCGCTCCACTCCTTCTGGAGCTTGTCGCTCTTCTTCTGCGCCTCGTCGCTACGTGCGTACCCGACCTCGTCGAGGCTCTTGCGGAGGTGTGCGATGAACGCGTCGACCCAACGGCGCACGGAGGGGTCCTGCTGGATGTCGACACCGCAGTTGCGGAACGCGCCGAAGAAGCCGTCGAGCGACTTGCCGCCGGCCAGGCGTTCTAGGGCCTCGCGCAGGCCGCGGATACCGTTGATGAGGTGCTTCTCGGGGGTCGGGTCGTCGATAAATGCGTCGAGGGAAGTCGCTTGGTTCACGTCGCCGGCCGCGTCGAGCGAGCGGTTTATCCACTTCTCCGCGAGGTTGAAGATCGTGGAGATCGACTTGTGGTAGTCCTCGTCGTTTTGCGCGCGGTCGCAAATCTGTCGTAGCCATCAGTAACGTGTACCGAGAACATCGTTCCCTCAGACGCACCTTTTCGTACGCGTCTTGAAGCCTAGTGGAAGTGCGATCTGCGAGGTCCTGGCCGGTCGCGACGGCAACCTGACCCGCGCCGATGGCCTTCGAGCCGACTTCCTTCGTCGAGTCCATCGTGCGCTCAAACTTAGCGCGTACGTCCCCGTCCTCCGGGTCGTCCTCGGCCTTGCGCTTCACGCCGAGCTCGTTCCGCTTGCCCTTCTGTACGTCCTCGTCGACGTCCCTGAGAGCTCCGGCCGCGTTCTGCGCGCTCTCGCCAACGTAATCCGCGGCGTCCGCGAGCGCGAGACGCATGAACGATGCGAAGTCGTGGAAGACGGAGCGCCCCTCGTGCGAGACGGTATCCCACAGCGTGTTGACGAGGGTGCGAGCTGCGTGCGCGACGGCGCGCGCGTCCTGCGTCGCTTGGTCCGTGTCGACGTCCATCGCGCTGAGCGAGGTAGATGTGTTCTTCGGGTCGACCTCGGAGAGGTGCCATAGGGATTCTTGGATGATGTTATCGGCTGCGGGGTCCAATAAGTACGAGCTAAAGGAGTGAGGAGATGGATACTCACCGTTCTTGTTCTCTCCGAGCTTCTTGTATGCGGTAAGCAGGTTGCGGATGCCGTTCTGGATCTCCGCGCCCTGGGCGCTGAGCTCGCCCTCGCCGGTCGCGGGCGTGTTGTTCAGCACGGGCGCTGCGAGGAGCGCGTCGATGCCCTGGGCGATTTGCTCGTGCGACGGGAGCTTGCCAGCGTTGAGCGCGGCGAGAATGGAAGATGACTTGTCCATATCTGTCGTATTCTGGTGATTTTGCGGTGGTGAGAGCGGGAGTCGTGAACGGATGCAGGGTCGTCAAGAGCAGAGCAAGTCGTAAGTGCAGTAGGGGGATCCAGACGCGTCGTTCAGCCTTATATAGGTGCGCCCCAGAGGAGGACAGGTGGAGCGTGGGGACGACGTCATCTGCGCATAATGACGATCGCCCCCCGTCTTGGGACGCGTTTAGCCTTTCCTGCGCTGCATCGACGTCGGAATGAACGGGTTGGAGTGCGCGGGGCCGAGTCTGGGCCGCGGACGCTCCTCGACGACGTTGATCTGGCTCAGCGGTACCGGAAGCACGGCCGCGTTGGCGTAGTTCCGGGTCTTCTTCATTGCGTGTGGGCACGATCCATCCATCGAGGTGTTTTGCTCGCACGGCCTATCGCAGAGATCGTCTCGAGTGGGCGGTGCCCTTGCGGAGAGGTCGTGGTGGAGGGACAAGGAGGCGCGGGAGTGTTTGCGAACCTCGTTGATTAGCCGATATCAGGCGCCCGTGCGCCCACAACCTTACACACGACAAAAGTCTCCGTCTGTGGCAACCGTCCAAATCGTTGCAGAGTGCCTTAGATGCGCACCTATGGCCATACGAACCCATTTCTGTGCATAGCCAGCCCTAAACATCTTGCGCGAACGCACACATGCACTTGACGAACCTCATACTTATCCTACCCAAGGCATGGAGGCCTTGCCTTCGCCAGCGTTCGCGTCATATCCGCCCGAAGCTCATAAAGCCTCACAACACACCAAACTCATCCGCCGGAAGACGTCGCGTTAAATTATCGATGAGCGCGGCACTACAAATGACAGCCCGTAACGTAGCGTAACTTTCGTCGTCGTTCTCGTCCTCGTCCCCCGCGCCCATCCACGCCCGTCCAGCGTCCAGCGCGTCCCCGGACCCTGCGTGCCCTGGTGGTATTTACTGCGGTGCTGATGAACACGGTGCTCAGAAGAGCTCGCCGAGCGCGGCCATCTCGGGGCCGCCAGACTCGCGCATGCCGATCTCCCAGTCTACAAACGACATCAGTATACGCGCAAACATGCATGGACGTAGACCACTTACAGCTGTAGATGATCGTGACGGCCATCAGGATACCCGTCCCGCTGCCAATCGCGCCCATCAGGTCCGCGACGACGGACAGCAGACCCAGGATCGCGCCACCGAGCGCCGCCGCAGTGGGCACGACGCGCTTGAGCTCCTTGTACATGGACCCCTCGCGGTGGCCGGCCATGACCATCTGTTGCTCCTTGAGCTGCTTCGCGATGTCGCGCGGGCCCGACCCGGACACCTCGATCCACGTCTTCGAGAAGATCGCGCAGGCGGTGACCGTGAACGCGATGTAGATGAGCGTGTGGACGGGGTCGACGAGCGCCTCGTGCAGCGTGTGCGGCGGCGACATGTAGTACGCGATGCCAGACACGGCTGCGAGCTGGGGCGAGTCCTCCAGGGGCTAAGCGCATGTAGTCAGTACCGAATCAGAGAGGAGACACAAACGGACGCACCTCCCAGACACCGAGAAGGCGGACGAGGAAGTTGGTCGGGAAGCGCGACGCGAGCATCTGCGAGATGATGAACACGTTCGACGTGAGCGCGCTCTCCAGCATGATCGGCATGTTCGACGTGTAGAACAGCTTCACGGGGTAGCTGCCGCGCTGTCCGCGGAACCGGTTGCTCTTCACAGGGATCTCGATCCGGAAGCCCTGGAGGTAGATGACGACAGCGAAGACGACGACGGTGGCGATCAGGTTCATGATGTTCGGGAGACGGTCCCTCCAGAACGCCTCGCGGAGCGCGCGGCCCTTGTCGTTCCAGGTGAAGAGCAAGTGGAAGAGCGAGACGACGGCGCCCTCGAACTCGGGGCCACGGCCGGTGTTGATGGTCGTAGGCGAGAACGCCTTCCAGACGATAGACTCGCAGATGTTGGTCGCAATGAAGAGGGAGATACCAGAGCCGAGACCGTAGCCCTTCTGGAGAAGCTCGTCGAGGAGGATGACGATCAGCGAGGCCGAGATGAGCTGGATGATCAGAAGCAGGCAGATACCGGCGCCGAGGTCGCTAGGCTGGCCGTAAAGGCCAGTGAGGACGTACACGGTACCCTGACCGAGAGCGATGATGAGAGCAAAGACTGCAACGTCGTCAGCATGTGTCACGCGACAGGAGCGGGGAAGGGAGATCAAGCTATATGCGCGCACTTCAGTTCCGGCGAAGTGTTCTGTGCACATAGCAGCGCGACGACACGACATCATCGATGTCTGCTATGGCTCGTCCAGGGTATGACACACGGTGCACAACGCGACTACGCTTGTTAAGCACGAAGTGTATGACAAGCCCCGCGCGACCGCAGTCAAACTCAAATTCTCCCGTATATCTTGCACGCGAGCCAAAGCGCATCGACGCCCGCTGTGGCCCGCGTCTGGGTTGCGCACAGGATAACACGTAATGCAAAGCCGCGATGATGGGGACGGGGATGCGGAATGTATGCACGCTTCGACTTCGCGGAAACATCTCGTGCACCTCGTATCGTGTGCAGAGTTGCCGGAGTAACGCAATTCAGCGCCATCGACCTCGCTTGCGTTGTCGTATACAGCGTGCCGCACTGTCCGAAACCACGACTACGTGGCAACACTCGCGCACGATTCGAACATGACACCTTCCACATGACCGCTTCCCTCCACTCCCGCAGACCTCTGCTTGCAAGCTCCAAAGGAAAAGCACGACTCACGTTTCTGAGCCCCGCTGAACAGCGCACGATCCTCCTTGAGCGAAAAGTCGATCTCGATGAGGTTCGCACCGGCCAGCAGCTGCATGATCATGCCCGAGGTGACGATCGGCGTAATACCGAGCTCCATGAGGGTTCCACGGTTAGAGGCGAGGATGACACGCATCCAGTAGAGCGGGTCGGCAGAGTCGGAGGACATGATGCCGTAGAGCGGGACCTGGGAGCAGACGAGGAAGATGAGGAGCGTGACGGCGGTCCATAGCACCTTTTGGTTGAAGGGGACCTGCGCGCGCGGGGTGGTTAGTTGCGTGTGGGGGGAGGGGGAGGAAGGGGAAAAGCGGGAACGTACTTTGCGGTCGGGGGACGAGACCTCGGGGAGGATGGGCAGGAACGGACGGACGAGATTCAAAAACCGGACTGTGCAAAGTTTTGTCAGCACCGCGCGCACAGGAGAGAGGACAGGGAGAGGACGTACATCCGCTCATGGTGGGCAGTGGACCAAGGAGCGGCTGGGGTGAGCGAGCGCAGATGAGGAAGGTAAAGTAACCCAGGCGCCCGACACGTCGCGTCTCCGTGAGGTGGCACGCCAAACAACCCCAAACAGCGCGCCCCCGGCGTCTGCGAGTCGCGACGTGTCCCTCCTCCGTCCACGCGACTCCCCTGGCATCCTCCAGCACCTTCCTTGTGCCAGTTGAAACCCTGAGAAGAAGTTGAGCCTTTCAAATTAATATTACCCGCGTTCGTCTTTATACTGCTAATATTCTTGCAGATTATCTACTCTTCCGGGACTCAGCCCCCGGGCAGCTCTCGCGCCCTCCTCTCCGAAGTGCTTCCCCCTCACCGTATAACGGACTCGGAGGGACCCTCCCGCGTACCCCGCCGCGCGACTCTCGCCTGCATCCGGACTCCCGCCCCTAAGTGGCTTATGGAGCAAAGGCCGCGGGTGGCCACCAGTACCCTGTGGGTGGTATTCGGGGCTGCAGTCCATCGTGCGTCCACGCGCGGACAGCACAAGTGCAACTGAAGGGCGTCGAGGGAGTCCTTTCTCGCTGATATGTATCTTCAAAGAGCCTCTGCGCCGTCCGGGGCCGCCCGTGATTCCGGCCCCAGTGCAACGAGTCCGACCGAAGACGAATCGATAACCTGGTGATTTTCGCTAAGCTCTGCTCCGTAGCGTTTCGCGCGCGCGCTCGAAGCCCCTGAACGGCATCGGCGGGTGGAACCAGCCACGCTGCCCGCCGACTGTGATCCCCAGTGTCCAGGAATCGCTGGACGAAGTTCCGATGATACTCATCCACCGTCCGCCGCACTTATTACGCAGTCGCGCCAACTCCGCGCTCCCATGAGGCTCATGGATCCGGGCGATGCGCTGGGCCTCCTACCGCTTCACCTCGAGCTATAAGTCGTTCAATGGCTGGTCGAATCTGCGCGAGGCCGAGGCATGTGAGTGTGAGCAATATACACCATGCCCAACCCCAACTTCGAACCCGCTCACCGTCTCGATCCTGTTCATGAGCGTCCGCATCTCCGTGATAAAAGTACGGAAGACGCGCACACGTCTCGGCGGCAGGCGACTGGAGACTGATCGTTTCGCGTGCTTCGCGAAAGCGAGTAGGGAGACTGCCGATGATCAGTCCCAGAACGTCGTAGGCGGAGGGCATGGATTGCGGCGGGGGACACCAGATGGCGGAGCGGGAGCAGGAGTATTTCAGCTTGCACATGAATGGACAATGCGGCCAGGTCGAAGTGGACGTGAACTTGGCGAAGGGTCGTTCTTTACTGAAACGGGGAGATTCCGGCGCTATATGATTTACACAGATGCGATACGTGCATGCTACATAAGCGGGCGTATTGATGCACCACTTGCCCGGATTGCCCCGGAGTAAGGGCCTCCTTTGACTGCCCTTATTCCTCTTCCTCCTCCTCCTCCTCCTCCTCCCCCTCCTCGTCGGGGCTGCAGCATGCGGTGCAGTTGCTCGCGCGCTTTCTGGTCCGCGTCCACGATGATCTCCTCGACCTCGTCCGACGTGCCCCCTCCCTCGGCTTCCTCAGCGGCATCCGGAGTGGTGATAGAGGCATCGATGGAAGGCTGCCCCGGGGATCTGTTGGACTCGGTAGTCTCCTCATCTTCCGTCTCCGACTGTGGGTTCCCGTCAGCTGGAGAGTCTGCCTCTACGTGCAATCTGGTTTCTCCCATCTGCGGCGCGCGGTGCGTCTCTTGAGTGTCGCTAGCCCATTGTACTAAACCCCCCTGATTCGGAGGAGCGCCATCACATTCGAAGACGGCGCGATCTGAAGACGCGGTGGCGCCATTCAAGATCCTCAGCATATTGATGGTATCCGTCGACATCTGGAGCCCTGACGGGCTGGGTGTACGGTCCAGATGCTGTCGTACGAGGTTCCCATAACAGTCGTCGACCATCCGCTTCAGCGCGCCGAAGAGTTTGACAAACTCCACGCTTCCGAAGGGCTGTAGGAAGCGTGCGATGCCAAGGGCCTCCCATCGCGTCACCTCCAGCCACAGCCCGTCGATCTGCCGGGAAAATCTGCACGGGGGCACATCAATCGCCCTTAGCGGTCAGGGAGATCCTCGAGCTACATTGAGTGGGACTCACTCGGCTAATCGACTGCGATATTCTGTCCATGCCTGGCTCGCCCCCTCCGCCAGGTTGCCTTGGCTCTCGAGCCGATCAACAAGCGTGCGGATTTCTGAGATAGTATTTTCGACGGCTTTGACACGGGCGGGGGGCAGGACGCCATGGACGAGGCGCTTTATATGTTTAGCGAATGTGAGAAGAGAAATGACGCCGATGATCAGCCCGAGGACATCGTAGGTGGAAGGCATGCCGATTTGTGGCGCTGTGCCTAGGACAGGGGTAGGGGCAGGAACCAAACAAGAGAGGAGTGGGCGGCGTTGGCGTAAGGACTCAAAGGGTAGCGGGGGACACTGAAGACAAAAAGGCAGTATATATATGTCCCAATACTGGTTCCATTCATGTTCGGACATTTTCTGGCACGAGGCAGTGCACTCGTGGTGGACGCGAAGCACTCACCATGCGATGCCAGTGGTAGTGACGCCGGCCTATCAAAGTACATCGAGGTCTTCCCAATGTGCAGGTATTCCTCGGCCATCTCACTGCATGCGCCGCATGAGTTCAACGTACGCGCTCAGTCGATATATTTTTCAGTTGCCTTACCTGAAGATGTTGATCTGGCCAGTGACTTCGGCGGAAGGTGCAGCGCAGGCCGATACACATGTCTTGTGATTGATTTATGTGAGTCTGCCACAGGAAGACGGGGTGCACCATACGAGTCGGCAAATAGTAAACAACATGATGCATGTCCAGTCGAGGTTTCAGCGCAGAACATGTACATGTGTCTCCGGGTCGCCGCGGCGGTGCAGCTGGGTTGGTGTTGAGCGCTGAACGCTTCGCAGCAAATCGCAAGTACTGTGACATTAATTCGGGGACTCGACAGTCGTGGTGAAATGCTGGCGGTACAAATGCAGTAATCAAGAAATACACTCTACTACAAGGAACACATCCGTGGTATCGATACACGCGCTCTTCACTTACACCCAGCTTAATCAGAAGTCGTCCTCCTCCGCATCCACCAGATCGTCCGCCTCCAACGCCGCCTGCGCCTCCTCATACAGCTTATCCAACCCGGTCAACGCCGGCAAATAGTCCGTCTCATTGAACGCCCGCAGCAGCATATCGAATCCTTGCTTCTCGTACGCCGACAGCACCTATCACGCACATCATATTCGATAAGCCGCGAGCACGGGAACGAAAGAGAGACACTGACCGTCTCGCTGCACCCGGTGCACTTCGTATACGCGGGCCCGACGATGGGGACGTTCCGGAACTGCGCCAGGAACCCGCGCAGCTGGTGCGGCACGATGCCCAGGATGCTCTCTGCCTCGGCTGCTGCCGCGGCCGCGGCCGCGCTATCCTGACCGTTCGTCTGCGGGGGCGGCGCAGGCGCATGAGCGCTACACAAGAGTCAGCAACGAGATGGTGAATCGGTGTGCGCAGATCACGTACCCGTCGGGATGTTGCAACATCGACACCAACAGCTCCACCGCTGTCGACGCCGCGATCGACGCCAGCCCCGGGCGCGTCACCGTGCACATCTGATCCAGCGTCCGATCTGTGAGGGACTGTACCGCGTACGCGCGCGTCAGCGCTCCCGTCTAGCAACAAAGTGCGAAAAGACGCACATCCGTCGGCGCAACGATATCATTGCAGTAATAACACCCCAGGCGCTTCCCATGCTTATCCTCCGTCCGCGCGCCATGCCGCATAACGAGGTACGTATCAAACCCAAGCGCCGCGTTCAGCACGATCTTGCCCTTCGCCGCGCCGAGCACCGTCGGCAGCCAGCGGCTCTCGCGCGAGTCCATGAGCAGGAACACCGCGTCGTGCGCATCGACGAGCTCCTCGAGCCGCGCGACGTCCGCCTTTGTCTGCGCGACGGACGCGGGCGGGACGGGGTGCCCGGGCATCGGGATCGAGAGGCTGTGCCCGGTCGCGTTCTGCGAAACGGTGAGTGGGACGCAGATATGAGAAAGGGAGGATGTACGTACGACCCCGGGGAAGACCTTGCGCAGCCGCTCGGCGGCGCACGCGGCTTTGGGCTTGCCGCCGTTCAGGCAGTCCTCGAACTCGAACAGCGGCTGCCGTACGGGGTTCGAGAACGAGACCCGCGCGGAGTCCACGAACGTGATCGTCCGAACTCCCCAGCCCTGTCCGTCCGCGTTAGGATCAGCCGACATGGATATCATATGAGGGAGGCGCACCATGAGCGTGCGCGCGACGTAGCACCCAAGCGTGCCGGCGCCGAGGAGCAGACACCGCGTATTCGCAACCTTCTCGAGGTCGAGCGCGGGCAGAATACGCCACCGCATCAGCTTCAAGTTCAAGTCAACAGCCTGGTCCGCAAGTCTACATATTTGTTAGTGACGACCTCTGTCTGCATCATCTCAGCGGTACACACCGTGCAGGATCCATCATAGGCGCAAGGTCCGCAACGCGCGGGCCGAGCTTCCCCTGGATGTTCTTCTCCCATCCCACCGCCGCAGGCTTCGCCATCGGGGCCGCGGCAGGAGCCTCGCCCGCGCCCTGCTTGACCACTCCGAAACGACTCCTCCACCCACCTGCAGATCCGGGCGCGGGCAGCTCGACATCGCGCCAGCACAGAACGCGCACGCCCTGCGCCACGTCGGCGGGGTGCAGCGCGAGGAGGTACGCGAGGAGGTTCCTGAGCGGCCACCCGGGATTCTGTGGCTGCGCGGAGGGGTCGACGAAGCCGATCGTGCGCTGTGGTAAATGAGATGAGCAATCGCGAGTGAAAGCAAGGAAAGGGGAAGTGAATAACCTGGTCTACAGGGACGTTAGCGAAGAAGGTCGCGTACTCCTCCACGGGCGCGATAGTGGTCTTGCCATCTTGCGTGCGCACGAGGAAGAAGGGGCGGAAGGAGGCGTGGAGTTGTGTGTGAACTGCGGAAAGCTGCACAACGTCAGATGTAAATACGGCGAAAGTACGCCCCGAGAAAAACAAAGGCACTCACCACGTCCTCCCCGAGGGTCTCCTGCGCGCCGGTCCACTCGCCATCGATATCCCAAGCGGGCTTGGTCGCGAACGCGGGGAATGCAAACCAGTAGTAATACTTGTACTTCTTGAGGTCGGCGAAGGTGATAAGGAGGAAGCGTGAAAGGTGGGCGGTAGATTTGTCCTCAATTATGCTCTTCCAGATCTGCAGGCGGAGACGATGTCAGCTCTAAGTGTCAGAATGCGAAGAGCGCGTGAAGGCGCAAACAGTTGTTATGTATAACAACGGAACGCGCGTGAGACAGTGTCTGCTGCGGAAGAGAAGGTCCAGCCATCTGACACAAGTGTCGACCGGAGTGTGTTCTATGCTACGTTCTGTTTCTACGAGGGTGCGATACACCCGCCGGCATAGTTACCGCCTAACGCCGTGTCGTACCAACGGCTCTCATCTCAGCGCGGACGTGAGCAGGGGCCGATATGGCAGTGGGTGCATGCTGAAGGCCGCTCAAATCTGGGACCACAGTGTTGTTCAACGGAACATTTTCTCTAAACATCTTCCACAAAACAACACGTTCAAGAGACGGCACTTTCGAGGGAACGGGTATTTCCGCGGTAAGGGTACCAATGGACGCACCTCGTCGGAGAGATGATTGAAGAGCGCGGTCTTGTCCGCGTTCTTGAAGTCTTCGATCGTATTGAAGTTCTTGAACGAGCCCTTCGCGAGGATCGCGTTGTGGAGCGTCCTGCACACGCGCGCACGATCGCGATCGTCAGCAAATCGCGAGCTAAAGCGAGCGACATGGGTTGTGCGCACTGTGGGCTTTCTACGAAGGCGTCGTCTCCGACAGACAAGTTGCATCCAAGCGCAATCTCCTTCCCAGTCTCGCGGTCTTTGACAGAGCGTCCGATCGCGTAGTTCGCGTTTACCGGCACAGCATCGTCGGAAAGGCGCAGGACGTCGATCTTGAGATTAGTCAGGGCGTGCCAGAACGCGGGCTGCACGAGCGATTGGAAGGGCGCAAATTGGACGATCGGCATGGCTGCTGGTGTTCTCGCGGCTCTGGCCGCGCTGTGAGGGCGTAGAGGAGCGCGACGGCAGGAAGCAAGAGCAGATTCGGCTTCGAGGACGGGAGCGCGATAATCTCGAATAGGCAGCGGTGGCGTGGGAAAGGCGCGTCGCGCCCCCGATCGCGACGCGTCCGTTCGCGCGCTCCTCGTCCTCTTCCTCGTCCTCCCCCTCCTCGTACCTCCTCCATGGCTTTCTGCTACTATGGATGTATGGGAAAAAGTGGATACAGCAGACAGGGAACCCAGTCATCGCCTCACCGCGTGTCGGCAACGCTGCCCTGCTTCGTAGACGCCGCCGTTAATTGCTTCACTTTCGCATTCAGGCTGTATCTGTCCTTGTCTCTACACTCTCGACACAGACGACCGCCTCTGCTCGCCTGTTATTGACGTAGAAACTTGTTCCTAGAGAACCCCATTCCGTCATATCGACACGGACATGCCTGACATCCTCGATATTTTGGGCTTCGTGCTCTCGATCATATCCTTCGTGGGCCTCCACCAATTGAAGGAGCTCGTCGCACGTCGTCTCCCCCCACGTCGTCTACAAGCCATCCAGACCGAGCTCGCTCAGCTGTGCCAGCTCTTGGAGCGTATTGAGCGTATCGGGCACCCTGACGAGCAAGATGTGATACGCCGATTGCGACGCCGTTTGGAAGAGTGAGTACCACAGTCGGCAGATATCCCGGCAGTCGCTGATCGTGTCCGCTATCAGGCTAGACGCGCGCATCACACATACGTGGCTAGATGTCGACAAGTGGAAGGCCAAGGGAGTCGTGCGACGATGCGAGCACTGGGCCGAGCGCGTCGAGCTCTCGCGCCGCTGCAGTGCTCTCAGCCGCGACATCGAAGAGTTGCGTGCACATCTCCACCTGCTGCCGCCCCCGCGCCCCCACATCCTCGATCACGCACCCGATGCGCATGCTCCTACCTCCGAAGTATCTTCTTGCGTGCCCGTCAACTGCGAACCCTCTCCAGCCGCCTTCTCAGTCTCCTCCACCGTAGCCTCTTCCCCGGAGACAGCCCCCCCTTTACCCGATACGCCTCCGCCCACGCTACCTACCTTGACTCCGCCGACCTCTGTCGAAGCCGCCGGGCCCAGTGGCAATCGCGACCATGACGATGGTCACGACCGGCAGCCTACTGCGTCGCAGGAGCTGCACAAGCCCACAGCCACGCAGAGCTGGGTCCCGGACGGCCATGACCAACACACATCGGCGGTGGATCCATTCAAGTCGGGAGATAACCGCAAGAAGTCGCGTGTTCGACGTCCCCGCGTAGCCTTGCATGAAACACAGCACCATGTCCACAGTTGCAATTCTGTTTCCAAAGAGGAGGACAATCTATCCGGAGGCTTGACGGCAGAAGGTCTGATACGGAAGATGCTAACTGAAAATGGCTTGGTTGAGTGTAAACAAAGCGATATCATTTACGGGAAACTAGACGTCTGTGCCCGTGCTACGCACGGGCTCCCCTTGTGAGTCTGAAGGGCGTACTTCTCACTCCACCTGCAACTTCGCGCGAGGCGTACGGGAGCGGCGAGACCGCCGTTAGCAACCTCAGGCTGTCGAAGGGAGCACTTCGATCCTGGTTAGAGCAAAACTTTGCGTAAGTTCCCTCGTAAAACGCGAGTCCCTCGTAAAACGCGAGTCCCTCGTAACACGCGAATCCTCCGGTACTACTATGCGGGCTACTTGATCCCGCGCGCGCGAGACGCGTCTGCACTTCTCCGCACTGCACGCACTCGGACCTGGCCAGTGTAAGTAATGCCCGGCCCAATGGGCGCAAGATCCCCCGTAGCTGTAAAACCGTCTTGTGAAATGTATCTCACCCGTAAGGTGGTAGACATACATTTTAATTGTATCAGGACCCGTAGAGGCAGTTGCAAGCCAGAGGAACGATAGTAGGAGGAGTGAGTAAGGGTAGCGTTCCTCGTACTGAGACGCTCGCAGTCGCAGGCTGGGAATCTTATGTAAGCGCATCCAGATAAGATCTAGATTGTGTCCCACCTTTCGCCTCCTCGACGCCGACCGCGCAACGGTAGGGCGGATTTTTTCTTCTCAGTTATCTCTACGCAACGGTAAGACCCCGTAGGGAAAGTTGTAAGATGCAGCGTAACGGTGAGCTTGCGCAATAAGGCGCATCAAGTTTGTGTCACGACCTTAATTCACGTATAGATATCTCTACGCAACGGTAAGACCCCGTAGGGAAAGTTGTAAGATGCAGCGTAACGGTGAGCTTGCGCAATAAGGCGCATCAAGTTTGTGTCACGACCTTAATTCACGTATAGATAGACTTCAATATTGATAGCGCGGAGACGAACCGGCATGAGACCTTGCGCTTGGTGAAACCGTGGTCCTAGAACGCCGCTGGTGCGTGGGGTTTGAAGGGTGAAAATTGAACAATCACTCTTGCGGTGTATCCCGAGGCCCTCACCGCGCTATGAGGGCATAGAGGGCATCCAGGCGGCAGGACGCAGCTGAGGAGTTCGGTTTCGGAGGTGTTCCGCTTCGCGCAAATAAGAGCGTTGACGCAGTAAATGCGTGTCGTGCGCGAGATCGCGACGCATTTCGCTCGAGCACGTCCACCCTGACGTCTCTGAACGATAGACCTAACCGACGGTCTACGTACATGGGATGGAATTTGCTCATGGTACCATACGCCGATCCTAGCGCCCTACCTCGAGGCCGCCCGGTGCCGTCGCCGCACCCTGGCTGGTGACTTCCCAAGCCCCACCGATAGTCGACAGACGCGTGTAAGAAGCAAGAACATATCCTGCGCACACCGTTTGGAGGACTCACTCGAATGAGTAGCGGTGGCGTGGGAACTGCGCGTCGCGTGCGTGAGTGCACTGCATGAGTCCCAGTCAAAACGTGCCCGAGTTAGAGCGAGTTACTGCGATTTCCCGGGAGGGGCATTGATGAATCGTCAAAACTCGTGGTAATCCCCGAATTTGAGACTAAAAAAGACTGTATCAGAGTTTCCGCGAGTGTCTGCGACCTCGGCTAGCTCGAATCGTCCAGCGTCGCTCTAAATCCGCCTTCAAAGTACCTAAACATGGGTGCACGTGCTTGCGATTATTCCGATTCTATGCGATACGATACGATTCCGTCCGTGCATTGCGAGAATAAAATGTTGTATTGCATGTAGCTACTATGAAACTACTACTAGTAAATCTAATACACGGTACATCGAGTGCTACTCAGACTGCACGTATGTCACTTGTGCGGGTGTCTAAGACGATAACCTACCTCAGGTCCAGTCAAGTGACACTGGACGAGCTGTTCAAGATATGGGAACGAAGGAAGCGAATGAGCGGCTTGCCACTGTCTGCAAAGATGACAGAACGTACCCAGAATCTCTCTGCACCACCTCCGCCGACGCAAGCGGGAGGCTCTGAGTGTACTGGGGGCGATGTTCAAAGAGAGATAACGGACACCCGGTGCTTGCAGGTGCACAGTGTGGGCCGAGCAAACATGGTCGCATGCTTGGGGTGGCGGCGGCGCGTGCGGCAGGCGGCAGGCGGGCGGCAGGCGGCAGCGGCAGGCGGTGGCGAGAACAGCAGACATATGCAACGGGGCCAAGGCATTGTCGGGGGCGAGTCCAGATCAAGAGGGTCCTATCCGCAGCGCCGAAGGAGGGAGACGGCGCACAGAGAGAGCAGGGCACAAGCGGATACCAGGTTCTGGCAGCATGTCGAGGGCGCAGTCATAAAGCGGAAGCAGCTAGGTAAGCGTACCCGACGCTGCCAGCACAGAAGAGCACGGCAGGGAGAACGAGTGACAAGAACTAAACGCTACGAAAGACAGAGCAGACACACATACCGATGCTGGCCATATTGTGTACGAGTTTGGCGGTGCAGCGACGGAGAAAGGAACATTTTGAAGATGGCGACGGGCGACAGGTGGCAGACCCGGGGGCTAGTACGAAGTGCTCCGCCGTGTCCGCACACAACAGCTAATGAAACAGGACCGGAGTGTGCTTCAATCTGCTAAGAGAGGTTAGTACGTACCTCAGAAGGACGCGGGGAGCGGAAGAGGTCGTGTGCACAGAGTACAGAGACAGAGAGAGAGCGACGTCGACAGAGGAGAAGGCAAGTGACAAGACTGTCCTTTGGAGCGCCTTCCTCGAAAACGGCGGACAGCTGATTCCCACGGGCTTGCAAATCGTTCTCAATGCTCCTCATTCGCTGCCAAGCTCAAATCATCTGCGGGAGGGAGACAAACATCATAAGAAAGCCGCATTGACGCCGTCGCGAGGGGCCGAGTCGTCGTGAATCCGTCTGAATCCTAAGCGCCTTAGTCTCAATCGCAGCCTCTCTGTCTGAATCGGGCGCGTTTTGACTGGGCATGAGTCTCAGTCCATGGCTCGTCTTCCCCGACATCCGTCTACGATGCATCCTGTCTCAAGCTCGAGCGCGGAGTTATCTCCGCTCAAGACGATAGAAGTAACGACGCATGCGGACATCAGCCGCTAAACCGGCAACATGGGAAAGAATCTGTCAGGTGCCCATGGTACACACAAATCCAAGCGCCCTACGGCCTTGAGGCTGCACGGTGCCGTCACCGTACTTTGAGTTCCCAGAGCCTGCAGATAATCACCCAAATACAGCGTTATGGCGTTTCTGTATGTATCCAGCTCTTGACGATCTGTTCTACACGTTCACCATCGACCACGATCGCAGGACCTGCTTTGAAGATCAAACCCACTACATCATCTTCAACACATCGCCATGCCTAGCACTTGGGATGTCATCAACATTGTGCTCGCGGTTCTCTCCCTCGTGAGCCTTCGCGGGTTGTTCAAGCTCTTCGCAAGTCGTCTTCCCCCAGGCCGTCTAAAAACCATCAATACCGAGCTTGCGGATATGCAAAACCTCTTAGTGAACCTCGAGCGCGAGAGATACCCTCACGGCGCAGCTATGTTACACCAATTCACTAGCCGTCTTAAACAGTGAGTACTCCGTTGTCGAACAGCAGCCAGATATTTGCTCACGGGGGACTGCTGCGACACTCCCGTGTAGGTTTAACGGGCGCGCAGCGAACTTATCGCTAGATGTGAGTCGATGGAAGGATAAAGGGCTCTTGGGGCGGTATGTGCACTGGGCGGAGTGGAGCGAGCTCTTGCATATCTGCAAGGAGTTGCAGGATGGCCTTGCAAACATGCGTGTCCACCTGCACCAGCTGCCTCCCCCATACTACACATCAGCCTACGCCGACTACTATGTGCAAGCGACGCCCTCCGACATCCTTCGTGACACCGCCGCCTACACAGACGATGTGCAGGCGACGTCCCCTTATACCGACGATGTGCTGGAAAAGCCCTCCGACGGCTCTTCTGACACCGCCTCTCCGGCCTATGTTGACCGTGACGTGCAGGTGACGCTCTTCGACGCCTCTTCTGACGCTGTAGCCTATACTGACGATGTGCAGGTGATACCATCCGAGACGTCTTCCGACGCCGTGAGCTATCGCGATGAGGAGCAGGTTCCAGTGATCCTCATCGACGTCGACGTCTCTTCTGGCACCACCGCCAATGCCGATGACGTGCATGAGACGCTCTCCAACGCCTCTCCAGACACTGCTGTCGCCGCCTCCTCGTCTTCCTCCACTCCTACCCTGGTCTCTTCTGATACCTACAACGGGCAGGCGACACCTGACACGGCTCTCAGCTCCTCCCCTACTACCCCAGACGTTTCTGACACTCTCGCCTATGCGAATGATGTGCAGATAACACTCGCCAACGCCTCTTCCGACACCGCCGCGTCCTCCTCCTCCACTGCCACTTTAGTCGAGTCTTCCACGTCGGCCCCGTCCAGCCCGCCTAAGACCTCGTCACCCCCCCTACCTGCTCCAGCTCCCGCTCAAATCACCGAACCCGCTGCCGTTCACGACAAGGTCGATGTGGTGCCGCGCACCCCCAGCCCGGTCCTCGAGGCGCCTGAACAGGTCATGCGCGAGACGATTCCCGCCGGGCAATCACACACATCGGCGCTGCAGGCGCACCCCGAGCAGAGCTCGATCACGAGCCGGCACGGCCACACGGCGAGGGACGACTCCGATTACGACACGGACAGCGAGGACAGCCTGGAAGGGTACGGCAGCGAGGTCGTAGGGTCGTTCCTCATGCCCGTGGGATCGGTGCCTAGTGATCTTGTCGGAGTTCATTGGCGTAAGCCCAAACATAAGAGGAGACCGAGAAACGCCAAGAAGAATTCATAGGTATTTACACGTCCGGTCCATCGAACGGCTTCGTCGGCTTGTAGAATGTACGTATCACATTGTATGCCGTTTATTCGTGCGTCTGCAGAGCTCCACGGAATGCGAGACACCGAGTCTTCCAATCTAGTACAATATATCCAGATGCTTGCGCGCGGCGTGCAAGGATCAGTCGGAATGCTACTGTGGATGTCCTACTGGAACAGTGTGGATCCGCGTCAACTGGTATGGCGGTCGATTCCGGGTAAGTAGCACGGTACACTGACGGTGAGGATCTTGCTCGTTGCGGGCTGGCCGAGCACTAAGCATCCCACCTGGGTCGTTGACAGTATCAGGAGAGAATATAACGGAAAATGGGAGCATCAGGATACGCGGTGACTGCGCCGAGTATGACTTGCGCGGGCTTGCACCCGTCTTCAAACTTGACCAGCGAGCGTGCGTTCCTCGACGCACAGGGCGCGACGGCGAGCGTAATGGGCGTATCGGAAGGTTGCGCATGCGAACGCGACGCGCCGTTTTGCTCGACATATTCCGCCTCCCGATGTCTACGATGAATTTCGATATCCTCGGTCCAGCTCGGACCGGTTGTTTGCCTACCCATGGCGCTGAAAATTACGCCGCGTGTAATCGACGACCAATCTACATGGGAAGAAACTTGTCAGGTGCCCGTGGTATACACAGATCCTAGCGCCCTACATACCTCGAGGCTGCCCAATGCCATCACCGTACCCTTGCTTCCCTACAGATAATCAACAGTCACCCAGTTCCCGCGCCATGTCCGTGTCGTCTTTCTATAGCTCTCGACAGTCTACCTGAACGCCCACCATCGCGTCGATCGCGCGCGCTTTGAGTGGACGCACCTCGCCACCTCGTCACCGCCATGCCCGACTCATTAGACATAACAGGATTCGTGATCTCGATCATATCGCTCGTAGGCCTCCACAAGCTAGGAGCTCTCGCCGCGAGCCGCCTCCCGCCAGGTCGCCTAAAAGCCATCAAGGCCGATCTCACAGAGATGCGCGAGCTCCTAGAGCACCTGGAGTGCGAGCGGTATCCCAGTGGCGCGGCCACGCTGCACCAGTTCCAGAGCAGCCTACAACAGTGAGTACGCGACCGTCGACCAGAAATCAACCAATCATTCACTGCGGCGCCGCGGCGATGCTCTTCTCCATAGGCTTAACACGCGCGCGGGGAACCTATCACTAGAGACGAGTAGATGGAAGGAACGAGGAGTCTTGCGCCGGTACGCGCATTGGGCGGAGTGCGGCGAGCTCATCCACGACTGCAGGGACCTGCAGGGCGACATCGCAGATCTGCGTGCACACCTGCACAAGCTGCCGCCCCGGGCACGGCACGCCTGGCACGCCCTCCAGGTGATGCCTTCCGAGGCCGGCTCTTCTTACACCGCGGCGGGTTCTCCCAATCCCACTATCGCCACCTCGGTCTCCTCCGCCTCCGCCTCTTCCACTGTTGCTTCCTCATCTCCCTCGCTGCCCGAGACTCCCTCTTCTTCGGTGTCGGACGCTGCTCCGACGCCCGTCAAATCCGGTGACACCACCGAACCCGCGGAATCCCCCGAACCCGCTCCCGCACCTGACAACTGGGGCAGGCGGATGCGTAGGAGGAGCATCTCGTCGGAGTCCACCGAGTCCACCGAGCCCCTCGAATCCACCGAACCTGCCCCCGCACACGACGGCAGCCACTGGATGAAGCGCACAGCGCGCACCACCATCCACACGCCCCCGGAAGAATACATCCCGGAGAGGCGGAGGGCGCTAGTGCCGGGTCGGTCCGACGTGCCCATTCTGCGCAACCGCGCTGCGAAGACGGCCGACCATGAGCCCGAGTAAGCAGACTCGTCGCTGTGCCCTGGACGTCCATGCCGCCTTGAGGGCGCGTGGAGAATATCGGGAGAAGAAGACGAAGACGCGGGTGGGAGGGAGATACAGCGGCCGTATGGTACCTCGGTACGCGTGCGCGAACCAACGCACGGCTGCTGAGAAGGTCGCCAAAGCATCCCAGTATCGGCGTCCAGCGCTGGAAGTCGGGGCGAAGCGGCGGCCGCGCCTCCACTGGGGATATGCTGTGTGATATCGGACAGCCCATTATGCTTGCCCTCCGCCTGCAGCCGTGCTTCGGTGCTTCGGTACCCATACTGTACAACACTCGGGTACGGATTGACCTCGTACAGTGGCGCGCGTACGTGTAGTTGGCGGTCGAAGAGCAGCCAGGCGAAACAGGAGGAGATCTTGCGTACCTTTCACGTGGCCCATCTCCGTCGATTCAGCCACGGAGGCCCCGCGCGACCAGTAGCATGAACGCGGATCACAGATGTAGAGAAACCACTCCATGTTCCTGCTGTACAATAACCTCAGCAAATACACAGCATAGGAGAACATACCCCGTACAGTCGTCGCTCAGCCGGGCGGCAACGACTCGACAGACGGACAGGGCCCGATCCGCGTGCTCGGCGGATGAGATGGACGGCCCTCAAACCGATGGGCGCACGTCGACCCGCCTCGTGGTCGGCCCCATGTCATCGTACGACCTGCTCGCCAAAAGACCCGAGGGCTGGCAGCCCACATAGATCGAGAACACGACGCGCGACTCACCAAACCAAATACGCAGCGAGAGTGTGACGGAGGGCGGACGCCTCTGCTCGTGGCGCTGCGAGCCTCCACGTCGGACAGACAGCCATACGCGTCCAGAGTCGGGGATGCCCGTCGAAGACGCGTTTTTCCAGGCGCTATTCGAGCTTTTTGCTGCTCCTGGCGGCATTGTGCGTGGGCTCCGTGGTCAAAGGGGCGGAGAGCAAGCACGGCGCTTTGGCGTGCTCGTCGTAGATCCCCGTGCACCACGCGCACGAGCGGTGGTCGATGGCTTGCACGGTGATGACCTATCCCTCGTTCAGCGGCATTTAAAAGTCACACACATCTAGAAGACAACGTACGAGTCACCGGTGATTGCAAGCGTGCGCCATAGAGTGCTCAGGCGCACTCCCCCCCTGTAGACAGCCGTGTGAGACATAGACCTCGGACAAAAACGCGACTACCCATACGTGTACTTGAGCGTCAGCCCTCCTGCTGTGTGTGCGTTGAGTACCCACAGCGACGAAAGGGCGGCGAGAGAGTACCATATCTCGTCACCCGCCGACCTGCCTGTCTCTTACGTTCAGAGAATATGCCATGTATCCCTTTGGCCCTGTCAAATGCTCGCGCGATATGTACTGTCCGCTAGTCTCATAGTTAGCTGTAAGGCCATATCAAAAAATACGGGAAATGCTCGCCTTGAGGAGACAGCGCATTCCAAGTTGGAGAAACGAGACCCAGGGCATGCGAGCGGCGAGACTCCATAGCCGAGGTACTCGCAAAGTTTCAGGAGTAGATAGACGTCCAGTAGGAGCCAGAACACCGCTGCCAGAGAGTCAACGGGAGAGCCATAGGCCATAGTCCGAGCAGCGAGAACCACAACCCAAGCCCCAGACACAAGACTCCTCGCACATAGCAATCCACATAAGCACCTCTCCCAGCCCAGAGCACTCACGCACAAGCAGATCCCAACCCCTCCCCAACAGTTCTCTAGCATCGCAACCGCGGCAGTCAAGAGAGAAAAGCCCCGGTTTCGCGCGGCAAGAAACGCGCACCTTCGTGGCGTGGGAACCGCGCCTCGCGTCCAGAACGCATCTGTGGCGTGGCCCGTGGCCAAACGCACCCTCGCTCTTTGTCTCTCTCCTCCTCCTCCCACCGCCATGTCCTCCTCCTCGTCCGCATCCTCTTCTGCGCTTCCAATGCTCGTCCCAGAGGCCACCGCCAAACCAGAGGCAAGCACAAATCCAGCGGCCAGCAACAACACAGCGGACACCACCAACCCAGCGGACAACAGCAAGCCCGCAAGCAAGCGCGTGCGCGCAGTACACACCCGCGCGCTCGTCGACTTCACAGACCCGCGCGAGCTCGCACAGGTCATGCTCGACGCCGTCACGGGTCAGTCCCCTCCTCTCTAGCCAGATCCCCCTTGTGCTACCCACTCACGAACTGCGCAGCGCACAAACACTTGTACGAAGACGCAGGGATCCTGCACGGGGACATCAACCCGAACACGATCGCGATCTTCGCCTTCCCCGACGGCGGCGGCGCGCGCTCGGTGGGCGGGCTGATTGACTGCGACGAGCCGCTGCGGAGGGTGAAGGTCTAGTGATTCAGAAGGCAAGAGGGTGGCGGAGGTGCGCGCGATTGGATATGCTGCAGGTACCCGTGTTTCGTCGTTTGCTGTGCATGCTCACGCAGATGTGCAGTGTACTATAGCTGCTATTGTTGTATGAATAGGGTTACTGGATGATCGGGAATGAAGGGCGTCTCAGGTTCGCCCTCGAGTGCGTACATTCCGCCCGCTGCGGAGGAAGCCCGGAGGTCCAGGTATGTACGAATCATCGTCCGCGCCGCTCCGATGTGCACTCGCAATCACGCTATCATCGCCGGGTCTTCGTCCATAGCACACCATATCCAATCCGCTCGTTTCCTCTCGAGAGCGTACATCGAGCTCTTCATTCGTATCCACGGGCACTTTGGCCGCATACAAGTACACACTTGAACATCCTCTCGTCTTCGCATTCTCAATGCTCCCAACGATACCCGCACGCCCACGGCGGCATCGCCCTCCTCTGCTGCGGGGGCGGTACCGGCCTATCCCTCACCTCCCCCACCTTCCTCGCCGTCTGAATCGAAATCGGGGCCTCCCAATAAATCATCGCGCCCGCCGTACGCCCCGGCTGGTCCCACGGCCGCGCGTCGCCCGGGTGGTCGAGGAGGACGATCGAGTTCGGGTTGATGTCCCCGTGCAGCTCGCCGTCGGCCTGCTCGTATATCTCCTTGTGACCTGCGCGCGCGAGTGAGCGTCAGTGTCAGTGGCACAACCGGAAGGGAGAGAGGGAGGGAGGGAGGGAGAGGACGGACCGATGAGGGCGCAGAGGACGGCCCAGACGAGCTCGCGGCCGTTCTTCATCTCGCTCAGCGCGCGCGGGGACACCGCCCGCACCCGGCTCGGACGCGTCATCGGCGGCGGCGGGGCAGCTTCTCCGTCTGTCTGAGTGTGATCGGGGCTAGGGCCTCCTGCGTCGGAGGCTGGCATGGCGGGGACAGGATCGGTAGGGGTAGCGGCAGGGGGATCGGCGGGGGACGGGTTCGTCATGGCAGCTCGGAGGCTGATCGCGCGCGCCCTTATATACGCGGAGAAGGACGATGGCTAGCCCAAGCGGGCGGTCAACGAGCGGCTGCTCTTACGCCCATTGTCCCGCGTCTCGCGTTAGCCAGGGAGCGTCAGCCACAGACGCGTCGCGGAGTTCCCACGCCCCCGTGCTGGCCTCGCGTGTCCGCCGCCGTCATCCGCTTTCTTGCTCGCTCACTCGCCTTTGCAGCTCTGCGTCCCCAGAGCTTCTCTCGATAGCCATGCGGGCTGGATGGACTCCTCCGCGACTAGTCAGGACACGTCCATCTGTCTTGCCAACGTAGTTCACATCTACAGGGACGGTCTAGCGCATCCCCCACGGCTCGCGCACCCCATTGTCCGTACGCGTGCGAGACGAGCCTCGCGAGCCTCACTGCGGTGTCCGGACGTGCGTCGCGTGTACACAGATCGTTCTGAAAGACACCCTCTGTGTAGCCGCACCCGGTGCTCGAAATTTCTTCAGCCACGTCCACTCTGTACTCGTCAGTAGTGTCACTGTATGCGTGATCGGGCCGTGCGAATGGCGCGTCTGCTCCCAAAGTGTTGTGGCTCGAAGTAGGCAGGATCGCGTTTGGTGAGTCGTTGTACTCTCTACCCATCTCTATATCTTGTTTCTGTCACCCAAGCTGAACGTTCGCAGACATTACACACCGTACACGCGTCTTGAACATCCCTCAGCTCCTTTTCCAGGCTGCTGACTGTATCAAAAGGCTCCACGTAGAATAGACAAGATCATACGACAATCTACAACCCAATAACGCGCATAAGCTCCCCACTAATTGGCGACTACAAAGTTCAAGATCTGCCCGCACACGGCCCGCATCACCACGTCCATCTTACACGACACCACACACCCCCTCCAATCCCTCCCTCGCGCGACGTCCATCAACTAGACGCATCACCCCGCGTCCCACGGCGGCATCACGTACTGGTACCGCGCGCTCTTCCACGCGGGCGGCGGCTGCGGCTTGTCCGGGTTGCCCACCAGACGCAGCGTCGCGAGCGAGATCGGCGGCTCCCAGTACACCATCGCGCCCGCGGAGGGGCCGTATGGCGAGTCCCACGGTGCGTCGTCTCCCTTTGTCTCCCCTTCCTTGTCCGACCCTTCCGCGCTTCCATGAGTCGAGTTAGGGGCGGGGCGAGGCGGGTGGTCGAAGATGAGGATCGAGTTCGGGTTGATGTCCCCGTGCAGCTCCTTCGCGGTCCCGTGCTCGTATATCTCCCTGTGCGCTGCATCCCTCACCCTGTCAGCATCCCTCTTACTTCTACAAATATCACGGAGAGAAAGGGACGGACCGTCGATGGCGCACGCGACGGACGCCATGAGCTCCTCCGCGCCGGAGATCGTGTCCAGGTTGCGCGCGTGCACGGCGCGCACGCGAGGCGCTTGCTTCTGAGGCTGCGCGGGTTCTGCGCGGGCGGGGCTGGGGTCTTGGGCGGTAGTCATGAGAATGTCGGTGTCGGCGGCGCTGGCTGTCGCAGGATCATTAACAGTGGATGGTCGAGACGCCATCGCAAACTCGGAGAGAAAGTGCAGTTGACAGAATGTGAAGCAGGGCCTTATATACCCACACCCCGGGCCTCCCAACAACCGCCATTGTCCCAGGTCCCCAGCACAAGCATCGGACAAAGGCCCACTCGCAGTCCCTCCTCCCGCCACGCAGCAAATCTCCGCGCAGCTAGAGGCTCAGCCCGCGCGCCCACGCTCATTTCCTCTGAGATATCACGCAGGGCGCGGCTGGCGAGAAGGGCAGACGACGCGTGCTATCGTGCATGGCCAGCAAAAGGTCCAAAGCGGGCTCCAGGAGATAGAGCAAGGAAGGGGAGGCGATTGTCCGCGCAGAGTCGTCAGCCACAGACGCGTCGCGCATTCCCACGCCACCATGGCCGTACTCATCGGGCGCTTCGGCCCCGATTCGATGTTCAAACGTTCATAACTTCATCGCTCTCTCGTTTTCACTCCACGACTTTGAAGAATGGGACGTCTACATGCAACGGACATCTTTCCTGAGGTCTGTACTACATGTCTGAGCCTCGAGGACTAGAGACATAACTGAAGAACGGACCCTCGCGGTTCCACATTCACCGGTACGCACAACTCTGCGCGCAACCAACTTGCCGGAGTGGAGATTCTCAAAGACTGCGTACAGTCCGAGGACAGACACTCTCAGGTGAGTCCGAGCAATCCAGTATAAGAATTCTCAGGCCAGTGATACTGATACCGATGTCGCAACCAGTTCTACGCCGTTTGTCTGTCGGAGAGTCTGGAGCCCTACTCATCGCTACTTCTTGCGATACGGCCGCCTCGATAGACCCGCCCCTCCCAGTCAAGACGTGTTCGATGCCCTTGCCGTGGTTTCTCCAAAGCTCGTTCGAGAAACGGGATATTCCCGCGGGATATAAGGCCGTTGCCATTTTCCCCCGCTGTCAAAGTTGTGCACGTTGACGCTGTCGCAGGGACTTGTCCGCCACCGATGGCCAGCCGAAGCCCCGCGAGTCCCGTAGAGACCCTCAAATTCACTCAACCAATGCACACCCTCGCGGGGCTATCAAGTACGTCTGCCTCTACTTCATAAGGGTATAGCAGCTCAGGACTTTGCACACAGATACCGCGTGCATCCATGGTGCGCAACGCGTCCGTCGTTGCACTTACGAGACAGTTCCTCCCCCGATACCAGTCCCGAGCACGTGTCGAATTTTGGGGTGCCTGTGTCAAAATCCCGGATCCAGCGGACTCGTGGTGGACGTACTCGTATCGCGTCAGGTAGGCTCTCAGGATGTGGACGACGTGGCCTCGAGTTGTACCGCCCTTTACGGCACTCGAATGGCGTTTACAGCGGCGCGCTTCCTTGCTCGTCAGCGTCAGTGCCGTACAGGACTGCATTTGAGGAGGCTGTATCGCAAGCGGGCGTCGTATCTGTCCGAAGAACCCGTTCAAAAATCGGTACGCTCCGCCGATTCTCGAGCTATTCTCTCCCACTCTCTGATTTATATACATGTGCGTTGTTAATTCGCATCGTGTCAGCCCAGCGCAGACGACGCTCCGAAACCGCGCCGTCGTAACGGACACCCCGCGAAGCTGGCAAGTTTGTTTCTTCTTTATGCATCTTACGAGTATACTGCTGGCGACTAATATGTTTGCGAGCAGACACGGCGTATATCCGTACTACGAAACGCATTTCACAACAAGCTAGCTCCCGTAACGCTGTGAATCTTCTTCCATCACTGGGTAGGGCGGGAGTCGGTTTACCGCCATCTCCGGTCCCGAGCTCCTGTCAGTTATCAAAGTGCCGATGTACTAGGATCTCCGAGCCCGGCGGCCCCGTGGTGGACGTCCTCTCCTTGCAGAGGCTCATCTCTGCGAATGTGGACGTACTAGTGGCGCTGTGTTGCGCTGCACTTTACGATATCGTAGTGAGCTACCTTCTAACAGACTGCGTGACCAAGCTTCTGGAACGGCTCTCTGGGCGCCCGGGGTGGACTTGTGGCAGCGTCGGAGGACACAGAAGGCCGCCCGAATATTCGATCGGTGACATCGTCCAGAATAGCTTGGATGGAGATGAGGCGTAAAGCGGTCAGGTAGGCTCTGAAGTTCTCGCCTTCAGGCGTCTCGTATTGCCTTTGTCGCGCTGATAACGTTCGTAGAAAGACCTGCAGGCGCCAATAGCGTGCATCTTGTGAGGCCGTTTAACGCTGTGGAAGAATAAATACAGGGCAAACCCGGGGTGTTCATGATTAACAGACCCCCCCTTCCATATGTGCCTTATTCTCAATACGTTCAAGATTCGTGACTTCGCGCCGCGCTCACCTATTCTGCAGTTGTGCAGCTCCGTATAAGCGCATCCTCTCTCTTCCACCGTCGACCACGCTCTCACCCTTTTGCCGCACCCATCATCCGCTCGAGAAACACTTCCCAACATGACGATGATGCTCGACATCGGAACCACCATCGCCATCTGGGCTTTGGCGCTGGCCCTGATCCCGCTCCCCGATGTCCTCATCGGATGGTTCTGCATGTTCTTTCCCCAGTTCAGGAGCCCCTCCACGCGGATGGGAGACCTCCACGACTCCATGGAGTCTACGCGCGAGCTGCTGTGTAGGAACAAGCCTGACTGGAACGACGAACTCGAAGGCGCCGCCGACCCGGGACCGCTACCAGATTTAGCCAGGGACGTAGAACTTGAAGTCGACCTCGGACCAGTACCCAAGCAAACCTCGAAAACGCGATGGAAGATGTGCGTGCCACTCAACTATTTTTAAGGCTCATATGATCGCACCGAATTGACGATCGGAACACATTTCAGTTTGAGACAGAACACCAACGACCTTGAAATTCTCGTCAAAGGCGGTGGCTGGGCGCGGTATTCTGTCAAACATCTGCGGTTCTGGAGATCGGACGTGAAGCGGCTTAACAAGGAGTTTGCGGACGTTACGAAGGAACTCGAAACTTTGAATCAAGACGTATTCGTATGCCTACAATTTCTTACTGTCTCGCGTCGTTTACCTGCTGATCGCGCTGCGGGTGTTTCTATGTAGACCCCTTTGGTGCCGATTCGCCACGATCACCGCAGTAAGCCGAAACAAAATGGCGTGCCTGCCTCGCAAGAGGGTCCAGAGTCAAGCCCACTTCTCGGCAGCACGACACTTGACGGACTACCTGCCGCTACCACGGGCACTTCATGGAGCATGGATTTCAAGAACGCACTATCGACATTATTTCAATTCTTCTGCAGAACCGCCTCTGCAAGCCGCGCTCCATCAGAGACACACCGTAACCCCCTAGCTGCACCATATCCGACAGATTCGGGCACACCCGCTGCATTACGGTACAGCCTATCGTCACCGAGTTTGAGGGGAAAATTAGCAACACCGCCAGCTGATGTAGAGCTTGGTGAGAAACGTTATCCCACACGATTTCACTCGACTTCCGGATGATCTAACCAGTCAGCAGGATCGCGACACTTGGACTCCAATGGCAGATCGGGTGCCAGTGAGACTCCCGTGTTCGACTTCCGACCAGTGCTGGGAAGGTCGGAGAATCATCGGTACGCCTTCGTGTTTTTGTTTGTCGCGCAGTGCTTCATAGTGGCATCGTTGCAGTGACAGCGTCGCGAGTTTTAATACCGATGTCATGCATAGTATACCGCCGGAGGGCCTCTGAGGCACACACAGGGGATGTATATGCGGTTGTCGCGCGAACTTACGTTCGTCGCCATGTCCCGGTACTGTCCTGTGCTCTATTTTCTTTGTTATCGAAGTATTGTATGGAGATTCGGATCGAGCGACATGTTACGAATTGGAAGCGTTGCACGAGCGCTATCGTTATCCACGCGAGATGAATAGCACAAGAGTCACCGTCATAGGTCAGTTTAAAAGTCGGTGTTGCCCTCCAAGAAGAGTCCTGCAGCCAGGCACTGGTTTACTGAGTTTCTCACGCCACCGCACCTGCACTTAGCGGGGCGACACGCCCTTACCAGCCGCCGTCATCTGAAGTCTTGCCATACCAAACCGTCGTCCTCCGCTCTCTCTCTGTACAAGCGCGACCCTACTTATCTTTCGAAGATCCTGCGGCTCCCAATGGGCGAGTTCACCTGATCGCTTTCCATACACGCGTAGCTTTCGCACTGCCACGCCGGTAGCATATTCACCGGCAGCATATTCAGGTCTGTCGGGATCTCCGAGTCGTCAGTCGTTGTCTAGCCGGGCGAGTGCATCGACGAGATGAGCTTCCATCTGTAGTGAGTATTACAAGTATCTTCGTGTATGCGCTGATGCGAGTTTCTCCCGCAGCGCTCATTCATTGTCGGCGGTAGCAAGTGCATTCGAACCGGCTATGGGTATAGTCCCGCCGCAGGCCTGGTCAGGGGTTATGGACAGTGCATGTATCCTCGATGGGAAACGCACCCCAAAAATGTGTCAAAGGTCGGCTGAACAATGACAGGATGTCGCCGTGTTCCAGTCCCAACGCTTGCCAGAGAGCCCGGGTCAAACACCTTCTGTGAGCCGCAAAAAAGGTGCGACCAACATGCTGGTTTCACTCGTTCCCTGATAACATGGGCACCGGTAACAAGAGTATGCGTCAGAGTGCGTTTTTCATCGAGAGCGGTGAGCCTTGCGTGTTCCGCTACGCTTCCACGATGCCAGCTTCTATTTCTGCTGACAATCTGACATGCTAATCTTCGTCTGAAACCGCCCACATCATGCTTCTGCCGTGGCACAGGAGCTGATCACATCTCACTAGCGAACATGTTCGGGTCCTATGACGTTCTTTGGTCGCCTGCAATGCAGTGCGATGTACTCCAGACCCTACCCCGAGCCGACACTGCGGTCCTCACCAGGTTGCTGAGGTCTTGGATTGCATCGCATGCGCCGCGCCGAACACCGGCAGTACGTTCAATCTGGATCTATGGGCTGGGTGCGTCCATGAATGTGAGAGTATATTCGCTCGTGTTGATAAGTGTACTAATTCTGTAACATAGATCCTGCGATACGCCGCAATATGAATAGCGCACGGCCTCTTTTATGAATATGCACCGCCGAAATAATTCTAGTACAAGTCCGTCAGGCCCGGGAATCACCGCCGAACGCTTTGACTGTCCGAGACAACGCTCTCTTATTCAATATGCTGCGACCAGAGTACTGGCGTTGATCGTGTCCCAGTGAGCGTACATTATATTTCGCCAATATCTCTCCGCTTCTTTTCAAGCCTCCATGATAGGCACCGGGCGAAGCAATGCGCAAGCGCTCGTCCTTCAGAAGCCGGCCTGGCTGACACCAGCTGCTGTCGATGCAGAACAGTCCCGCATACCGACTCGTTGCCTGCAACCTCATGGTCTATCACAAATGGGCGTCTTCATCGCAGCTGACCTCGCATCACCAGCGATCGCATCTTCGTCATACAATATCACAACACGGCATGTAAGGCAGTGTTTCGTTATAAGGTTCTTCTGACGAAATCCCTAAGTTCTGACCCAGCGTCCTCCCGCTCTTGGTCCGCCTCTATATAATCACTGTAGTAAGAGTACATCGGTGAGTTCGCTCTGCTACATATATTTCCTACGATCACTCAATCCGCCCCGTTCATATCAGGTTCTCATAATCTCTCATCAGGAGGGCGGCGTGCGGTACACGCGTTCCGAGTCTCGTCTGCGGCCTATATGACATCGACATGCTTGCATGTCGTCGCGATCGTCAAAATACAAAACAGTTTGACCACGGTTGCGACTAGCCTTCACATTTGCCTGCCCCGGGAGCAGCACTGAGGCTGTAAATATCGACGCACCGGTGTCGCGATGGCTCGTGACGCTTCCGCAATGGACAAAGTACGTGGTCGGAGCAGGCAGCGTGAACAAGGCAGCTGGGCGGCTGCTTGAGCGTTTGGGCAGAGCCGGCGCCGACGAAGGTATAGGCAGCTGCGCCTTCAAGAAAGGCACAGAACGCATCGCCTTACCAAGGCAGTTGCCGGACATCCCCATGTATATACTGACACTCGTAACTCCGTCCTCGAGGGAGCATCTCCTGCAACTCGAGACTTCACCTTCCGTTGGCGCCCTCCGTTGGACCAAGTCCGTCCCCTCAACACCTTTTGTCCCCTCACGCCCTCCCTCTCCCCCAAGTTTCTCTGCTGGACATACATGACGATACTGGACCTCACGACTACCCTCGCAATTTTGGGAGCGGCGCTCGCAGTAATTCCGCTTGCCGACGTTTTCATCAGATGGTTCTATATGCTCTAGTGGCCCGCATTGCGCAGCCCCGCCATACGCATGCAGGAGCTCCACGTCTCTCTCAAATCCACACGCCGGCTACTATACCAGAACTGGCCTAAATGGGATGCAGACATCGCTCCAGACGCGGAGTCTACTGTCCCTAACTGGCGTGCGGAATGGGAAGGGTTCGTGTCGTCTCTTTTCTTGGGTGATCACACATCACTGACCATGACTATCCCAGCATAGAGAAGGAGGCGAACGCTCTCGCAGTCCTCGTCAAGAAGGGTGGGTGGGGCCGGTACTCAGCGGCCCATCTGTGGTGCTGTGGGAAGCGCATGAAGCGGCTGGACCGCAAGTTCGCTTCCGTCACACGACGACTCGTTGCCTTCAACAAGCAAACCTTTGTACGCTGCAACTCGTTCTTTAGCTTACTGAGCTAGTGTACTGACCCAACCGCTCTGCTTTCAATACAGACTCGCCTAGACGCAAAGCTCGACCCTCAGAATCCAGATTGTACTTCGACGTCCAACAGAGGTTTACTCCCGAAGCTTCCTGAGAGGCCGTCGCCATCGCTGATGGAGGATCCGGAGCTCGGTCGTAAGCATGCAATGCACAGCCCAGATTCAGGATCTTCTAACTGAGTGATAGGGTTTGTGTGCGGGCCCCACTGATGGTGAATACTCTAAACGTCAACGCTTCTAGCATTAAACACGGATTTCAGGTACGGCTGCCTTCACCTGCTTCGCAGCACAGTTTCTCAATGCTGGGCCCCGCACCCGTGCAGTCACCGCGGCAGAATGCTCATTGCTTCGGCGACAATATGAGGCTTTTGAGCTTTACGGGATAATGTATGTGTGGTCGTATCGCCAGGTTTCATCTACGGCGGCGCTGATTCCTATGTATTATCCACTCTCATCGTATTTACGTATCGACTTTCTCTTCTATCGAGCCACGCTTCGACTTGAGCACACTCTATTTCAATCTAGATTTCATCAGATTTGTTTTTACGTCAGAGCCAGAGGCTAGTCCTCGAAAGCGACTCGCGGGTTCATGTCGGAGTGCACGCGAAAAGAGAGCCAATGTCACCAGAGATCGTGAGATACGATATCGAGATGCCTCTACGGCAATCTCCTCCATACCCTCTGACCTCCCTCCATTCCCCCACTGCCGCATTCTCTCCTTCCTCCTGTTGAGACCTTCAGATAACCCATGCCGCCGTATTCCAGCCCTTGAGGTTGTCGAACGGTGTGCTAGGGCCCTGAAGCGCGGTCTACAGGGTGGATTGACTGCGAAGAGTCTGGATGTAGCGCGGATAGGGGTATTCACGGCAACGCATCTCTTGCGCTCGTGAGCCACTCACTCGCTGTGCGTTCCTTGGCCTACGCCGGGATGAAAATGTCAATGAGTGGTTGTATCTGTCCCTCGACGGATTACCAGTACGACTGCCGAGAATCTGCTCCCGCCGTACGCCGGTGCTGCGCCATCTCCACTACCTACACGGTCCGCTCCGTATGCATACCGCCCAGAAGGACTCTTACCACCCCGTTCTATCGCATACCTGCCTTTCAGGTTATCAGACGATGTCATAACGGACTGCAGAGCCTTTCACGGGTTGGAATGATTTCAAGGAGTTTGGATGTAGCGTGTATAGGGGTACCGCACCGAGCTACGTCGCTGGCCGCTGGCCGCAAGACCCTCCTCTCTATGTCACTGTACGTTTATGGCTACGGCAGTGGTCTCTGTCCTATGGCGGTACGGCGTGCAATATGACCGTATCCGTTTTCCTACTAGGACCGAGTGCGCGCCGGGCGGGCTCGAGTGCACAACTGTGACTCGGCCATCGGTGTGCTCATTCAAACCTCCACATCACATATGCGGATCGTTACACGATGGAACACTGCGGACTGGTCCTCTGGGACCTGACTGCGTGGCGGTGGCTTTCATGTGCGCAGAGAACTGCGCCGCCATCCCTCCCTTGTCGGATTTTCCCGGATGGGTTTGACGACGAGGGCGCGCAGCTGGTACCCTATGCCCATCGCACTGTCTTGGTAGTAGTCCTGAGATGGGACATGTGCTCTCTGGGGCCTGGGCGAGTTATGTCATGACATGCGGGAGCGTGTCGTGGCTCCTGGGGTTTTTACAATTTTTACCCAGGTTTTAGCCCAGGTAATGTCGGCCTTCCGAGGTTTAACGACGCCTGCTTGTTCTCGCAAGGGAATAAAAGCCACAGATTGAGCTGGTTCTAATCAACAGACTATGGATGGACAGTTAACGAAGGCGTCGGGAGAGACTGGGACAAGGTGCAACGTTGGAGTAGCGACCCGAGGACGTCGAATTTCGTACGAACAGTAGGGTACAATAGTTACCTAGTATGTGTAGCATTGTAACTCCGACTGTTTGGAGGATGTACGGGATGCACTGACGACGAAATAAACCTCACTCACTCACTCACTCACTCCCCCGCTTCCTCTCCTCGCAAACCCGGTTCCGACAGGCATCACGCCTGTACACAGCAGCTCCATAAGTCCGTCGAGCATCCCATTCAACGTACGTCCATCCGGCGCAACACGTCGAACCGGTCTCCGTAACGCTGCAGCTCCAGCTCGTACACGACGCCAGTGCTAGCGGAAAGTTGGACCGTATTCGGGGCGATGACGGGGTCGATCGCAAAAAGGACCCTGCCGGAGATACTGTCAGCGGTCGCCAGCCTCCAGGCCACCAGGCCAGTGGATTCGAAGCAGGCACACATGGAGACGCCCGCGATGGTGCGCTCAAGCTGCGTGTAAGTAGTATCAGACATCAGCAGGCTGCCGCATGTTACGGAGGCATGTCATGCTACCATTGAAGGTTCGGCACGGACATCCCGAGGAAGAATCACTCAATCCGACAGGATATATTGCGAATTCCAGCGCCCGAAGTATGCGCGAGACCCACGCCGTACGGGTGCACGGCGGGAACCCACACCGGAGGCGGACAGATGATGTGCGCACCGCAACGATCAACATCTACCCCACGCCGGGCTACAGTATAGTCCGCAGTGAGAACTCAAACATCGCTCCGTCATACAGCATACCAGTCCTCTGTAGCCGGCGACCCACCCCATCGCGCAGTTGTTCCGAACGCTTTGGCTCTGTGCGCACCGACCACACCTGCCACGACCATACTATCTAAGAGCTTGTCGTACCTCTTAAAGATCGTAAGCGACGCAGGAATTCTGGGAGATGTTGCAGGTACGTACGCGCGCGCAGCTGAAGCACTTCGTGATCAAACACCGAAGATGAGCGATGATCTAGCGCGCGAACGCACCTCAACATCGGCCATTTGGCGGACCACGCTACTCGCGTCCCTCCTCCAACCGTCTAGCCGACCCCAAAAGGCTCTGCATCTCGTCCACCTCGCGGCGCAGTAGCCACGCTCGTCTCCATCCAAACGCGGGTCTGGGCGCACGAGTGAATAGAACGGACAGCCTCCACATGCAGTCCGGAAGTCGGCACAACCATCTCCGCTGCCTGTAAACACCCCGACGTCTGCGAAGATACAATGTGAGGCTCGTTGGCGCGTGGAAGGAAAAGGCGTGAGCGTTCATACCGGACGTGCTCATTTGAGACGAGGTGCGTCGAGCCCAGGAGGGTGTCGCCTGCATCTTCCGCGGAAGAACGTCCCGCAGGACGAAGCCTGAGTGAGAAGCAAAGAATCACATTGATCCGTGCTGCGGGCGTACACATGATGCCTGTGCTTGGGGAAAGGTGGAGCGGGTGATTCATCAGCGGTCGGGATGATCAAGCTGAACGGACGTAGTGTAGGGCGCGTGGCATATGGGCCAACAACGGGATGTTTTCATATGGGCGTGGGCAGGAGGATCCCACGACGATGAAGGCATGACGGGTCTGACCTGGCGAAGGTGTGCATCAAGAAGCTGATAGGCCACACACTGCAGGGACCTGTGTTCAATAATCGACTGAATAGGCCGTAGTCCACATCGTACGCAGGGTTGGGAGCAGTATCGTAGCATAGGCAGCCAATTTAGACGTCGTTCGAGTGTCCGGTGTGCTGAATGTGATCTACAGGAGCCAGAAATCCACGTCGAATCAGAGTTGCAGTTGGTCCAAGTTAATCGGCCGCAGTCAAGGAACAGCCCAAGATGATATCGACGTGCATGCTCCTCGGTGTGATTGATGCGCCCGGCACAGATTTAGACAGGAGGTTCACGGATGGTGGCCTAAGTAAAGAAATTGAACATGACTTACAGAGGCCCGAGTACAGCCCACCCGTGTTTAACGGCGTCACGACGGGCTACTATGGGTGTGCTCGTAATAACATTATGCTGTTGAGCACGAAGGCGAGTATGCCGAATGTCTAAAGCTGCGCAGATTGAAAAATAACGATACACAAGCTCTTGAACTCACTAAGATCTGCCTTGCATCTCGTGTTTTGAGATTGTGCAGTCGGGTGGCTTGCCGTTCCACCTCTCGTGCCATCCGAGTCGCGATAGTCGCGTCCTACTTCGTAAAATGCGAGTTCACAAGAAAACCAGCAACCCAGCGGAGCGTCGAGAGAATCGTAGCGTCGTAGCGTTGTAGTCTAGCGTCGCCACAGATGTGGCATAAAGAGAGAAAGAGCAGACGAGAGTGAATCACGCAAACGCTAGCGAAGCCACGCGGCTCTCTTTCCCACGCCACCGCGCCTACACGCCAGCACACGCCGGGCGCAGTTGCCTAGAGTTGCTTCGCTCCCGCCATTTGTTCCTTCAACGTGTCTTGACTCTGAATCCAATGGAACTGTCAGGATATCCGCGCTCGAGCTGCACATTGAATATCGGTATCATCAGGATTGTGTACCTTCCGGTCTTCTTGGCTGCCCCTCAAAGCTATGCCCGGTGAGCTCCCCGAGGTTCTGTCTCAGGCTGTCCGCTAATCTCGGCCGAGGTGGTGTAGGTTCTACATGCTAGCAGAGGTACGGAGCCCCGACCGGCCAGCGTACGGCCCCCGAGGCACACCGTGCATCCAACACACCTTCTCGCGGGCTTGCCGGCCATATCGAACACAATACGCACGTTGCCCGCCCGATGAGCCGCCCTCGTCGCCCGCGTGCTTGGCAGAGGGAGCCTCGAGGGCACGGTTGTTGTCCGATCGGAACAACCACTATGGAAGAGTCGCAGAGAGCCTTCTGTGCCCTGAGGCCCTCTGGGTGAGGCCTGCGGTGGCACGATGGCTCGCATCAGGCAGTTAGGCGTACCCGCATTCTCCCCGCATGGCCTTCGAGCAGCCCTTTTGCCCATCTCAACACTGGTAGATGCAATGCTTGCTTCGATATATGCGTTATGAGATACCCGCAATCCTCCCAGTATAGCATCGCTTCGAGCGACACAATACGCGGCGTCCGACCGGACACTGGAACCTTGACGCGGGCGACCTAACAGCACCCCAGTATCATCAATACTGCTGTGGCGGCGGTGGAGTTGATAACCGGTCTCGGAATACGTACATCAACGCCAGCGTCTGCAGTGGTCGTCGATTTGGATATAACACCTCCAGGTCTGCCCCGGCCACGCAAACGCTAATCTTTCGACGATCTCCTCGCATCCCACCCGCAAAGCATGGAGTCCCTCAAACACATCCTCTTCCTCCCCATGAACATGTGGGGTACGTCCAGCTCCTCCCGATTCCTACCTCCACGCACTGCTACCATCTGCTCACGCTCCCGTTCCACAGGCCACACACGCCCGATGTGCACGCTCGCCGCGCGCTTCGTGCGGCTGCGCCCCGTCTCCGTCACGCTCTTCGTCGGCACGAAGCTGCTCGAGCGCGCCGCCGCCGAGCTCGCCGCGGACTTCCTCCCTGGGGAGGCGCACCTCCTCGCGCGCGTCCGGTACGCCCCCCGGGTTATCCCCATCCGTATCCACACTATCCACACTGACGCGCGCGGTGTCGTAATCCCGGCGCCAGGTTCATCCCGCTCGAGCACGACGCACACCCGATCGACGGGTCCGTGTACGAAGCCTCCTTCCTCGCCGCATGGGCGTCCCTCAGCGCAGGATCCACGCTCGCCGCACACTCCGTCTCCCTCAGCCCCAACGGCGCGCTCGTCCCGCACATGTCCTCCGTCGAACTGCGCACCGCGCCGCTCGCCGCGGCCGTCGTCGATGTATGCCCCTCTCTCCCTCTCTCCCTTCCCCTTTCCCCCTCTCTTCCCCTTCCCTCTCCCTTCTGTCTCGCCTTCTTGGCCCTCGGACTGACTCGATTTCCAGATGTTCATGATCGCCGGCTTCCGCGCCATCCACACTTCCCGCGCTCAGACCCAGGCTCGCACAGAGAACCAACCCGCGTTCGCGCTGCACGTGTGGCTGCCGATCGCGACGAACTGCATCGGCGCGTGGTTCGCGGAGGACCGCGCGCCCGAGGCGGAGGCGCTCGCCGCGCGCACGGGCGTGTCTGTTGATGTCGCTGCGCACCAGGTGCGTAACTCCCCCTTCTCCTTCTCCTTGGGGTTTCTCCGGCAGGGGTTCGGCGATAGGGGGGAGAGAGAGGCAGAAGCTGATAAGCGGAACACAGATCCTGGTGGGCGTGCAAGGGCGGGTTCTGCGCTGCGCGTACCTGCCGCCGATATACGACCACGAGCTGCATCCTCAAGATGTACGTCTCCCTCCCCTCCCTCTCGTCTCCGCGCGCGGTGGCTCACCGTGTTACCCCGCGCAGGCGCCCTTCCTGCCCGAGTTCTGCGGGAGAGTGCTCATCCAAGTGCCCTCGTACGTCCCCCTTTTACCCGCGCCCTCTTACCTACACGAGACATGACAGCGTGCTACGCGCCGCCGACGGCGCACTCACAATGGACGCAGATGCGTACCACCCCGAGGCGGCGGCCGCCCTGCGCGCGCAGTTCGGCGCGCACCCCGCCGTGTATGCGGGCCCGCTCATCTCGCGCGGGCCCGGGGCCCCAGCTACGCCTGCCGCACAGGAGGTGCAGGCGTTCTTGGATGGGCAGCTGCGGGCACGCGGGGAGCGGAGTGTCCTGATGGTAAGAGCAGAGAGTGGAGAGGCTGTGCGGCGCGAGGTTGGATGCTGATGTATGCGTTAGATCTCGTTTGGGTCGATGTTCTGGCCGTCGGACCCGGCGAAGCTGCAGACGGTGCTCGACGTGGTCGTCGAGGCTGACATTCCCTTCGTACGCTGCCTCCTACGTCCCTCGCGCGCTTGCGTCTGACGGACGATATGCAGGTAATGAGCTGCGCGAGCCCGTTCTCCGCGATCTCGGACGAGACAAAGAGCAGGCTGAATGCGTCTGGGAACGCCCTCCTCGCGGACTGGGTCCCGCAAGAGGCCGTCCTCAAGCACGCCGTACGTCCCACCTCCCCCACTCTCCCCTCTGGCTCATGTACGACGCTTAACCTCTCTATATGCGCGCATATAGGCGACCGGCTGGTGCCTGACACACGCAGGGCACAACTCCGTACTCGAGTGCATAGACGCAAACGTTCCCATGTCCGTCCCTCCCTCCACCTCTCCCCCCACATCCCGCTAACCTCCGCACCCCCAGGATCCTCTGGCCAATCGACGCCGACCAATCCACAAACGCGATCCACCTCTCCCGCACGCTCCGCATCGCCTACGAGCTCCTCGAAATCCGCAATGGCGTCGGGCTCGGGCCCATCCACGAGACGGGCGTCGCCCCAGCGGGCACGCTCGACGCCGTGCAAATGGAGCTCAGGGGGGTGCTTGGGCGCGCGTTCGGGAGCGAGCGCGGGGAGGGCGAGGAGGTGCGGGCGAGGCTGGGGGAGCTGAGGGGGGAGTTGCGGGAGGCGTGGGGGGAGGGGGAGGGGGGCGTGGCAAGGAGGGGCGTGGAGGCGTTCTTGGACAGTTTGTGAGCGACTCCCGTAGAGAACGAGTCGGAGTGTAATTAGAGAAGCGCTAGAATCTAGAGAGCATAGACGAAATGAAGCCAGAAAATAGAAGCTACAAGAGCCGTCATAAGTACCGCGACGCTTGCGCCCCGAAGCCCATGCGAAGCGATTTCAGCGAGACATGTCCGAGGAGCCCGAGGAAGGTGAGCCCAATAGGCGCCCATTGACGTATGGCCGAGCGTCTACTCGACGCAGGCTTGCGTTGTTCTCCTCCAACGCTTTATGGACGATCTCCAGCCTCACGACATCTCAGTATTGACCACTATCCATATCACTTGCGAGTACCTCTCGATTAGCTCTCCGCTACCGCTGGGCCCGGTACACGCTCGGAGACATCTTATGATGAAGTAAATGGCCACACACTGACAGCCTTCTGAGCGTTGCAGCATCCACATAGAGATATCATCAAGAATGGATGTCCTGTAGAGCCTCGGCGCATTTGTGAGTACGTGATATTCTGAACTACAGGCATTCACTAGCACAGCGTCAAATACGCTTTCTAGCCGCTCGCAGATGCCATGAGGCCCGCGTCGCTCACTGATTCGCTCAGAACTTCGTCGACTACGCCAGACAGGGTCCATACAGCGGTCGATATCCGTCGTCATGGCTTTTCAATACAGTACGAGCGGCATGATGTGGCAGCGGAAGCTCGGGGTTACGCCGCACTTAGCTACGGCACTGTCATGGCCGTGGCGCTGGCCATGCGCGCAATATAAGTAACCTCGATCTGATGGCGCCCGCACTTATACGTATTGTCTCTACGACCACGATGAAGCATATTGTTGTCTGCCCAGTTCATCTCTATGGTATGTCTTTGTAGTATGAATATTTACGCGTGATGTATACTGATAGTCGATCACCGACGTCGATCTGCAGGACATGCACGTCCACTCGCCATTCTTGCTGCCCGCATCGTCAAGCTGCGGCGCATGACCGTCACCTTCATCGTCGCCACTAAGCTACTCGACGGCATCAAGGCAGAGGCCGCGCGCGACTTCGCCGCAGACGAGGCAGATGCCGCTGCTCGACTCAGGTGCTTATCCCGCTCTGTGCATCATGTCGAACGCTTTGCTAATCTCCGTCTCAGATTTCTGCCCATCGAACAAGGCGTCGATCCGATGAACACAGCAGAGTACCTACAAAACTTCCTCGCGACCTGGAACAGTCTTCTAGAAGGCGTCTCTGCGACCACGCAGTCGCTGGACGGCACGTTACACTGCCTGGACTTTCGAAGTACGCCGCCCACAGCCCTCATCCTAGATGTGCGTAAAATCCACTATATATCCGACAGACCGTCTCTTCCACCAGCATAGCCGCTGAGAAGACTCGCAGCTGTTCGCAGTCGAGCCCTTCAACGCATTGCGCAAGTCCAAGGACGCAGCCTACAAGATATACACCTGGGTCCCGATCTCCACCGACAGCCTCCTCACGCTCTTCCGCAAAGACCTCGTTCCCGAGGCAGAAGCTGCCGCCGCGCTGCACGGGACCTCGTTCGACGACGAGGCGCACAAGGTCCGTACGCACACGCGTGACATGCGATTCTCATGCTGATTAGATGGTTTGCAGCTGATGTGGGCGCCCACGGGCAGGCTGCTGGAGAGTCCTTGTATGCCGGATATGTACGACCATGAGATTGGTCCGCAGGGGGTATGTATCGCGCTCTCTGGGACGGACCTCTGCTGAACGCCGCGTGCTTTGACACAGCTCGACGTTCCGCCATGGTTTTCTGGACAGATATTCATCCGAATGGCGCGGTGCGAATCTCTTCCGGCCTTCCCCTATGCGCGGCCTTCGTTACTAACGCGCGTCGCACAGGGGGCTGCAAGAAACGGACGGTGTCATCACGTTTGACGCGGCAGGGTACCACCCAGAGGCCACGGCCGCCGTCCGGGACTGGTTTTCCGAGACCTCGAGGCGGGTGTACTTCGCCGGACCCTTAGTCGCGATGCGACGCGCAGAAGAACAGGATCGCGACGGCGTCCTGGCGTTCTTGGATACCCAGCTCGAATCTCGCGGGGAGCGATGCGTCGTCTATGTGGGCAGCATCTAGATCCATTTCCCTGTGGCTGCTAGCTTACGGTCACGGGACGGCGCAGATCTCCTTCGGATCGCTTTTCTGGCCGTCGGATCCAGCCAAGTTCCACGCTGTCCTGAGCGTCCTCATCGAGCGGAACATCCCATTCGTACGTTTCCAGCACGTCGACGTCGCCCTGGGACCGTACTGAGGCGCTGCAAAACCTAGGTCCTCGCTCGCCCCAGTCCCTTCGCCGCGATGCTCGACGACACGAAGGCGACGCTTGCGGCATACGACAAGGCGTTTGTCGCGGACTGGGTCCCGCAGCAAGCGGTCCTCAACCATGAAGTACGCTTCCGTGTCTAAACTCTCCTTCAAAGTTGTCTCAATGCTTCTCTCTCTCGTACTAGGCGACGGGCTGGTGCCTCACTCACGGCGGACACAACTCCGTGCTCGAGTGTATCCTCGCCGGCGTACCCATGTACGCACAGGCGCGCACGTCGCTCTCCACGGACACCAGCTGACCGTCTTCCGCAGGATCCTCTGGCCGATCGTCGTCGACCAGCCCGTCAACGCCCTCTACCTAACCACAATCCTAAACACCGCATACGAGCTGCTCGAAGTTCGCCACGGCAGCGGGCTCGCACCCATCCCCCGCTCCGGACAGACCCCGCTCGGGACGATCGACGCGGTGCAGGCAGAGGCGCGCGCCGTCCTCGCGCGCGCGTATGGCGCTGACGGCGCGCAGAAGCGCGCCCGGCTGGGGGCGCTGAGGCAGGCGATCCGGGGGTCTTGGGAGGAGGGCGGGTCGGCCGTTGGCGATGTGGAGGAGTTTTTGGATGGTCTTGTGTGAAGCGGGCGGTACGAAGCGTGGAGGTGGAAATGGCTTGCGTGCAAAGGTGCGTCGACCGGATCTGACAGTCTCCGTGATGCTAAAGCTGAGCCGTGGCGTTTAGCATGAGGGTACCGTGTAGCACGCGGCGGAGAGGCTCCGACATGTACGGCAACCGGACTTGATGTACGCGCATTTCCCGTTGAGGTCGCGGCGAGACAGGTACCTGGTCAAGCTTCAAAGTTGAGATGTACTAATCCTTTTCGGTCTGTCTATCGCGCTCGTGAACGCTAGCTCAGATCGGCGGCGTCTTGACCAGCCGTTCCGTGTGTGAAGCCGCTCGCACGCTTAACATTACGCCAAGTGCCGCCGTACGTCAATCCTGGTTGATCTACAGGATCTGCTAATCCTTGTGGTGGCAAACGCCGTCCGGTGCCACCGTTCTCCGGACGACGTCTGGCCTCCGTTCCGAACGGGATGGGGAGAGTTAGTGCACCCATGGGCGCTCTACCCCTGACCACCGTGCCAAGACAGAGTTTCATGTTGCCCCTCGGGACGCGAGCAACGATACGGTGCCACTAGCCTCCTAGCCTAGCTGGACTCAGGACCTCCTTTGCCTCAAACACGGGCGGCGGCTCGAATAGGAACCCTCCGTATAAAAGATGCCGACCTGGACCACCCCGTATAGTCACTCAGCCTTCTCGACATCAACTGTCGCATCCTGTACACAATGAACGTCCTGGGACCAAAGCACATCATCCTGTTCCCCGTGCACGTGTGGGGTACGTATCACAGCTCGTCGACGTGGCCGGCCAAGCAGTTGACCTCGCGGCGGTTCGCAGGCCACACGCGTCCCATGAGCACACTCGCCGCTCGCCTCGTCCAACTCGGGTCTATCACAGTCACGTTCTTCGTGGCCGCGAAGCTCTTCGAACGCGTCAAGGCCGAGATAGCGCGCGACGTCGAGACGGATGTGCAGCATGCCCGCCTAGCAAACATCCGGTAAGTCACTCATCCGCCTCGTAGGGAGCGGTGACTGAAGCTGATTGGTATCGTTCAGGTTCGTCGTGATCGAGCAGGGCGATAACCCGTTCGACCCCGAGGTGCTCGAACAGTCGTTCATGTCTGTTTGGAGCGCGCTTCTCGATGGCCGCGCCATCACTTACACGTCGATGAACGGGACCGAATTCCAGTGGGAGCTCTCGACGTCGCCCCCAGACGTCATAGTAATCGACGTAAGCTCCCGCTGTCATCTCCGCTACACGACCGTTCAAGGCTGACTTATACGACTGACAGATATTCGGTGCAGGTCTGTTCAGGACGTTCTACGAGCAGCGTCGGAGCTGGACGTTGCCGCGCCCCTTGAAGATCTACTCTTGGCTCCCCGTCACGACCAGCTGCGCCCTCGTGCTGTGGCAGCAGAACATGATACCCATCGCGGAAGCTATGGTCGCTCGCGAGAGTATGACATTCGACGACGCTGCTCATGATGTACGTTGCGTCTGTTCTAGACATCAGACTGAGAATCAACTAACTCTCCGATGCATAGCTAATGTGGACGCCGAAAGGCAAAGTCATAACGACGCCGTGCCTCCCGCCGCTCTATGACTACGAATTGCATCCGCAAGCGGTACGCGAGCTCACACTTTGCGTCGAACATATATATCCCAACTGATAACATGGTAGATGCCTCTCCCACCGAAGTATTCCGGGAGCCTGTTCGTCCAAACTGGCTGGCAAGCTTCGGCCGCACACCTCCCAACTACAGGACGAAGCACTGACACGCCGCATGTATGCAGGATATTGGAGAACACAGACGGCGCGATCACGTTCGACGCAGCTGACTACCATCCTACGGCAACCACTGCAATGCGCGATTGGTTCGGGCAGACATCGCGTCCGTTCTGTTATGCCGGACCTCTCGTCCCGCCCAGCGCCGGTCAGGGCTGCTCGTCGCCCGACACGACTTCAGAGCCGGCTACCAAATTCCTCGACGATATGCTTGCTCGCGGCGGCAAGAACTCCGTTGTGTATGTGAGTAGTTGAAGCTTTACATAGTTTGCATGTGTCACTTACAGAGCTTATCCCAGGTCTCGTTCGGATCTATGCTCTGGCCGTCCGATCCCGCAAAGCTCGACGCTGTCCTCGACGTTCTCATGTCCAGGCGTATACCGATAGTACGTGGATACAAATTCAATGGCTCTTCAGACGACTCGCCCGCTTATGAACTATATAGGTAATGAGCCAGCCCCCTGCCTCAACGCGGCTGCTAGACGACACCCGGCGAAAACTGGCGGAATACGAAAGCGCGTTCTGCGCCGACTGGATTCCCCAGCAAGCAGTCCTCAATCACCCAGTAAATATTCGATCCTCCATACACTACCGCGCATAGCCTCACACTAGCCGCGCTAATGCAGGCTGTCGGATGGTGCCTGACGCACGGTGGGCACAACTCCGTGCTAGAGTGCGTTCTGGCGGGCGTTCCCATGTGCGTTGCTTATTGTTCCCACACGCATTCATTACTCCGGCTGACTCGGACTATCGACGCGCCACAGGATCGTTTGGCCGATCGTCATGGACCAGCCTCCAAACGCCGTGCACCTCGTCGACAACCTCGACGTCGCCTACGAGCTTGTGGAGGTGCGCCATGGCAGTGGGCTCAGCACGATTTACCGCACGGGAAAGACCCCGAACGGATCTATCAACGCCGTCAAGGCTGAGATCGGAGACGTGCTCGACCGCGCGTTCGGCAAAGATGGTGAGGAGAAACGCGCGAGACTGAAGGCGCGCAAAACAACCCTGGAGGGTGCGTGGAAGGAGGACGGGGCCGCGCGGCGCGATGTGCTCCAGCTTCTAGAGCGCATTTGAGGTGCGTATCAAGGCACCCCGCAATGAAGGTATGCGGATATAACTTGTGCTTCTGGGCGAGAGCCCTGTCGCAAATGGTCCCAACACGGTGCTGACGAGCACCCAGACGCACCCCGAACTCCTCGAGAGCCCCGTCTATACACGAGCGCTTCTTGCTCACCCTACGCCATTCCGCGGTCTGTACGCCCCTTTGTCGGAGTGCTCAACCTGCTTCCTTGCACGTTCCGACATGGGTGAACAAAGTTGTATCACTTTCAGGCGTTCTATTCTCCGCCGTGACGGGCTACTAAAGCGATGTTTCATGTTGTTTCTTGGGCCCGATTGACGCCACGGTGACACGAGCCTCCTCCTGGCCTCACAGCGGGTTCGGGCGGTGTTGCTGGGAGAACGCATTACGCACACCGCCCAGGCCCGATGCCGCAGCGTACCGCTTTCTTCTGGCGATGCCCACTATCTGCGGACCGCTTCACGAGAATAGTCGACGCAATATCTCGAGCGTGAAAGGCTATTTGTGATGTTTGCGAGAAGTCTTATCAATTTGATGACATAGTGAATTTGAATAGGATATCGCGTTACTTCAAACCGGCTACCGAAGCGAAGCCCCAGCGCCGATTGATAACGAGCGTCATCCTTCAAGACGTATATAAGGCGTCACTCTCGACGCCGTCTATCAACAGCCACCACACCGCAACTTCAGCTCTCTCCAAGACTAAAACATGAACGCCCCGGAATCGAAGCACATCCTCCTCTTCCCTGTGCACATATGGGGTACGTCTCGATCGTCGCTCACATTCAGGCACAATTGGTTGATTATAGGCATGTTGCAGGGCACACACGTCCCATGTGCACGCTCGCCGCACGTCTTGTACAGCTGGAGTCCGTCACCGTCACATTCTTCGTGGCCGCGTCGCTTTACGAGCGTATCAAGGCGGAAGTTGCACGCGACTTCGACATGGGCGCGCAAGACCCTCGTCTCTCCGGCCTCAGGTGATCAAGTCATGTCTCCCAGTATAACGATGCATGCACTTACATGTATCTAGATTTGTCGTGCTCGAACAGGGCAATGTTCCGCATGATCCTGAAGTGATTGACCAATCGTTCATGTCTCTCTGGGGAGAGCTGCTGAGTGGCCGTGAGGTCGCCTGCTCCTCGATCAACGGGGTCGATTCAAAATGGAAGCTTTCTGCGTCTCCCCCAGACGCCATAGTCCTAGACGTAAGTCATCATGACAGCTCTGCCGCGTTTTCATTTTAGATGTTGAGAGGAACATAGATATTTGCTACCTGTCTAGTATTCGACACGTTCCATGAGCAGCGCCACACTTGGAATCTACCTCGCCCGTTGAAGCTGTTCTCCTGGCTCCCCGTGACCACTAGCTGGGCTCTCGTGTTGCATCGTCAGAACTTGATACCCATGATAGAGGACATGGTTTCTCGAGAGGGTATTACCTTCGGCGAGGCTGCATACGATGTACGTCATGTCCATCAGGTCAACGTTCTGGCCAGTTATGAGGATATTGACACGATGGGTTTTTTCAGTTGCTGTGGACACCGAAGGGGAAGGTTTTGACCAGCCCGTGTCTCCCACCGCTATACGATTACGAGTGCCACCCGCAAGCGGTACGTTTGACATTTAGGCGTCGACGTTTGCGGTGCTTTTTATCAAACACGATCACAGATGCCTATACTACCGAATTTTGTGAGCGGCATCTTCGCGCACATCGGCCGGTAAGTGTCATAACTTCGCCGCAAGCAGCAACCAGCTCATCTCTTGCGCACCTTCAGGAAGTTAGAGAATACAGACGGTGTGATCACATTCGATGCAGCAGATTATAACCCGAAGGCGACCACCGCTCTGCGCGACTGGTTCGCGCAGACATCGCGGCCGGTCTGTTATGCAGGCCCTCTCGTCCCATCCAACAACACCGGGGACTCCGCATCTTCTGACGCGACTTCAGAAGGTGTGGCCAAATTCTTGGACAATCAGCTTGCCATACACGGCGCGAAGTCCGTAATCTACGTATGTTATTTTTCGGCGGACGTGACTTACATGTGCTGCTGACAGAAGCTCATATAGGTGTCCTTCGGATCAATGCTCTGGCCCTCGGATCCTGCGAAGCTCGATGCAGTCCTCGATGTCCTCATGGCGAAGCACATCCCAGTCGTACGTGGAAAATGACACCACTCCCCGAGCGGCCCACCTCAATCGCTGTCTGTCTAGGTGATAACCCACCCTTCCGCCGCTATGATGCTGCTTCCCGAAACCCGACGAAAACTTGTGGAATACTACGGCGCGTTCTCGGCCGATTGGATCCCGCAGCAAGCGGTGCTCGACCATCCTGTACGCAATCTATCATCCATGCTCTTCGCGCGAACCCAGGTTGACAGTGCTTTCCTAGGCGGTCGGATGGTGTCTCACGCACGGAGGACACAACTCCGTGCTAGAGTGCATCCTCGCCGGTGTCCCGATGTACTGCACTCTGCCTGTTTCGCGAACCACTCGGACTGACCATCATCCCGCAGGATCGTGTGGCCGATCGTCGTGGATCAACCCATGAACGCCGTACATCTCTCCGCCAACATCGACGTCGCCTACGAGCTCGTGGAGGTCCGGCACGGCAGCGGGCTAGGCCCAATATGTCGCACAGGCAGGACCCCGAGCGGGACTCTCGACGCAGTCAAAGCTGAGTTCACCGACGTGCTCGACCGCGCGTTCGGGAAGGATGGCGAGGAGAAACGCACGAGGTTGCAAACGCTGAAGGCAACCCTGGAAGGCGCCTGGAAGGAGGACGGGGTTGCGCGGCGCGATGTGCGTCAGCTTCTGGAGGGTATTTGAGGAACATGTCAGTATCTCGATGCAGCAACTTTGCATGGCTTCAAACATGGCATATCTATGAATATACAGGCCGCGGTTCTTTTTTGCCGCATCGCGATCGGCACCCCGTCCTGTGATTGTTCCGCAGCTGTATACCACCATTGGGCCATTTCCCGGCCGGCCCGCCGCACCAGGGACACATCGAACCGGCGGTCGTGGGGAGAGTGCATTCACAGCATTACAAAGGCCATGTTCAGGGATACCGGGCCCCAGCTTTCGGTCTGAGAACTTGCGCGCGGGATGATCACCCACAGGATCGCGCGAGCCTATAAAGCGGGCTCCCTTCGCTCCACACCCGCCCCTCCTCAACGACGCACCTCTCGCTACTCCACCATGCCCGGTATCCTCTTCGTATACTCAGAGCCCGGCCCCGCCGTCTCAGAGAACGAGTACAACGACTGGTACGACAACGAGCACGTACCTCTGCGCATCCCCATCCCGGGATTTGAGTCTTGGTCGCGCTGGGTCGCTGCCGACGGTGAGCGTCCGACATACGGCGCGCTCTACGACCTGTCCTCCACCTCGATCATCTCCGATCCTCCTTACGCCAATCTGGCAACCACACGCTCCGAACGCGAGAAAGCCCTCATCCCACGTCTTGCGCTCCTCGACCGCCGCACGTACGCACTCCGCGAGCCCGTCTACCCCTCCTCATACGGCGCCGCGTATGATCCGCTCAAGCCCGGGCCATACCCAAGCGTAGTGGAGCTCGAGGTGAAGCCGGGGGCGGAAGACGGATTTCAACAAATGGTACGACGAGGAACACA